TGCTAAAAAAAAAGTGACTACTCTAGAAAGACTCAATTCCCTAACACAGCGCCCTCCGTACTTCCATGCAACAGCCATCTCCGCTTCTGGGAGTCTGATAGTTTTTGTACTGGCCCAAATTTCCTGCCCCTTCTATTGCAAGACCTTGACAGCTCTGAGGCTGCTGGAGCTGCAGATCTTGAATGACAGCTCTGAATCTGCTGGAACAGCAGATATCACAGCCAAAATGGCGGCACCCAGCAGCAGTCTCAGAGCTTTTGACACTCTACGCATGGGAGGTTTTTACAGGTAAATAACATGGATATAATTACGTTATATGCACACATAATCTAATGGAAGATATTTGTTGGAATGAATGGTGTGGTGACAGGGTCTCTTTAGGTGTTGGCATGGAGAACCATTCTAAAATATGTGTATATGTATACAAATATAAAGGTAAAATAACGGTAGGAAAGAAAGGGGAAGGAAACAAAGACAAGGGAAAGGGGAACATGGAAAGAAGGACGGAGAAAAGAAGGAAGGAAAGGCTATTAAAGGGTTGTAACTGCTGAAAATGATCCCCCAAAAACCCCCCGACATATTAAAAATTCAGGTGGACATCAAATAAGTCGCCATGTTCGACATTCAATTATTTTATTACATTGTCACTTCACCTAGGTGAACACTGGAATATTTCTTGTTCAGTACCTTATATTTTATCAAATTGGTTGAAGCTGAGGAGCTTTTGTTGAAAAGATTAGCTGTCAAGAAAGCTGCCATTATCAAGTGTCATCATCAAGAAAAATAACAAGTTACAAGTGCCATGTGTCTGAGCCTCTCCAGGTCACTGTAATAACCATTTACTGGCTTTTAGCTGCTCGAACCGGTTGTAAAAGGCAGACAGCCTACTGGAATTCTGTCCTTGTGACAAAGGAGAAATAGGGTTACTATTAACCTTTCCTATACTTTAATTCTAGGAGACAGATCACCTGATTAGTAACTAGTCATTAGAACTCATTAGGACTGTGTTGTTGCTGTCATCAGAAACTTGTTTGTTACTCCATTCTTCCATGTCTTCTACAGTCAGTTCAGGTAGACACCGCTTGAGAGGATCTGAATTTAGCAAAAAAAATAAACAAACTAGGGATGCACCGATATATCGGCCGCCGAAACATATCGGCCGAAAATGGCACTTTTGGCAAAATGCAGAAAGTGCCATTTTCTGGCCCATATAGCGGTGCATCTGTGATTTATTTTCTCCCCGCTAGGCGCTGCTCAGTGTCCCAGCGGGGAGGAGAGAAACTGTCTCAGGCAGCCGAGCGCTGTGAGCGGCCGGCGTCTCTCCTCCCTGCACCGCTCAGCCTCCTGTCATAGATTGGCAGAGCGGTCTGGGTGGAGACAGCTTGCAGTGCTGTCACAGGAGGCTGAGCTACGCTCGTCCAGCCTCCTGTGACACCGTGTCAGGAAGGAGAGCGGGGACAAGCAGTCAGTGATCGCTGAGTGTTTGTAAATAATTGAGGACAGAGTATGTTTACTATATCCTCAATTATGAATGAATGGGAAGTGATCTACCTCACCTCCTGTTCATTCATGATTGTGGTTATAGTAAATATACTGTGTTCTCATGTTATGAATGAACACAAACACTCTGTATAGATGATTCATGTTCATTTATAACAGGGGCTGCAGAAAAAGAGATTGAGGACTCTGTGTTCTAAATCTCTTTTAAAAGGGAAGTATCAGGGGTTTGTTTAGACACCTAATATGTGGACCTGATGGAGAACTTCAGGTCCAGCTCTGCTGATTGACAGCAGCAGTGGGTCGGTGCAATAGCTAGTCTGCTATTGGCTATTGCAAATTGAAATAGCCAATAGAAAACAAGCTATTCATTCCTATGCAATTTTTTTTTCCCCTGACGGCAGCCCCGATGTCAGAAAAAAAAAAAGATAGCGTGGAAAGGTTTACTCTGTTAGATCGAGCAGAGTAAACCTTTCCGGGAGAAAATGTTTCTCTCCCGGGCGGCCGGGAGCTGCTATCTAATAGCGGGAGACTCCCGGAACATCTGGGAAAGTTAGGATGTCTGGACTTATAACACTTGTCTCTGTTGAGCTGTGATTTTAGGCAGCATTACCAGCCCTGCCTGCTGGACTACAGAAATCTGTCCTCCTACGCCCATCTGTCCCTCCACATGCGTACATTGATTTCTTTATCTGCAAAGTAATGCTTCTGTCTTGACGTAGGCAGTCTGTTTGTAGTGAAAGTGCTCTTGGGAGACGTAGTTTCGGGAATATGGCTATGACAGTAGGAACCAAGCTCCCAGCTGAAGGAATTTTACGAGCTTGATGGTGATGCATAGGGCATAATATAAAAGAAAATAAATAATGCTGTGACATGCTTTAGGGCCCATGCACACCACATCCAGATCAGATTGTAAGACCTCACAGGCAGGGCCCTCCTTACCATCTTGTCTTGAATTTTATTGTGATTGTAATGTCTTCCTTATATTGTAAAGCGCTGCGCAAACTGTTGGCGCTATATCAATCCTGTATAATAATAATTTCCAGACCAGATTGTTCCCGGACCCAAAATGCATCCTAATGTATCCCTATGCTATTTCTGGCCTCTGTTCACACCAGCACAGTCCGTTCCCGGCCAGAAAAATACTGCAGGTCTCATTTTGTCTGGTCTGCAATGCACTGGAACGCACGCACCAAAAACACATACCAATGTACTGGAAAACACCTAAAAGAAAATTTTAAGCTAAAAAATTGACATGAATAGCACCGACATGCCCCCAACCGCCCCAGAATGCCCTATCTATGCGATCCAGTGCGTTCCGGGCTCGAACCACATCTAAACACACCGGAAGCTAGTAAGCAGTATAAGTACCTGAATTTAACTAGGTATCAGGCATCTGCAATCCCCTATGCAGCAGCGTTCAAACTATAAGAGGGAAGGACAGGGCTTCATGTGTGCTTCATGCAAATGTGCTGGCAAGGTGCATGCTGACAGGAGAGAACATAGTAAGCAGAAGGATGAATTAATCAGTCTTCTGCTGCTCCTTCACTGTCCAGTCAGAAAACTGGGGGAGGAGAGAGAACAGCACTGTATGTGGTCTCATCCACCTGGTGTGTGGTGTAAGGGGATGTGCAATTCTCAGGCCGGGGTAAACAGAAATACAAATCCTTTGCCAGGCAAAACCGATCCCTTGTATGTCTTTCATCTTTGTATCTGGCTGTCTGCTGGAGTCCAGCTTTAATAACAGGATCCAGCGCAGATTGAACCAAACATGAGAAGTGCACAGTTACATGGATCAATACATTTTAACACTACCAACTAGCATGTAATAGACAGAAAACTTCAAGAAGATGATAAAAATCCCATCATCAGGTTCCACACTTCCTTTAATTTAGGCCCAGAAATGACTGTTATACCTTTCAGAACCATGTCAGTATATAACATCAAATCGCCATTATTATAAAGTATTTAACATTAGGCATATACAGTATGTCAACTTTACTCTTCGCTTCACATATGTACATTTTATATCCAGCTGTATCAGTATATTTATACGCATGTACACACCGCTAGCAAAAAGGTGCATTAGAATTTTTTGCCCAATTTTTTAATCATCTACAGGAAACTGAGAAGTGATCACCCTCCACTAATCTTTACATCTCCCTAGGCAGTAGTTGGAGGATTGCTTAGCTTGCATTAAAGAGTTTGCAGCAGCCTGTGCAATGCACCCGTGATCCACTCATCCCATTTGCAATGCTTTGGATGCTCCATTGCAAGAAAAATAATAAATGCACATTTTGTTTTAATGTGGGTACATTTATTAATGTTCTTGCAAAAGATGAAATTAGCCTTTGATGGCTAATAAAAGCCGAAAAAAAAAAGCCTTCATAAGGTGCCTTTTTAAGCCTGATATTGCAATTTTATTCCTCGTTAGCTTCATCATTCCACTACATAAAGCTATAAAAGACATTACCCTTTCTAACCAATGTTACCTTTATCATAAGGGTACTATGTCAGGGTACCGGCACAGGTGACCCCACACCTGCGCAGGTACCCACACAGGTAGACCAAACACGTGTGACCACACGGACCAGGCAAGGATGTTAGATATGTATAGGTTGTTTAATATACACCTTAGACTAATAGCAACAACCAACAACAAGGCTCAGGACAGCAAACAAAAGACACATGAAACAGGACTTCAAACAGGGTTCAGGACTCACAGATAACAAGGTTCAAAACAGGATTCACGACTCACAGGTAACAAGGTTCAAAGCAGGATTCAGGACTCACAGGTAACACACCTTACGATAATCGTACGATCGCGGGATTTCCAGCGATTATCGTATGATTATCGCAAGGTGTGTGGGCACCTTAAGAGTATATACATTTTATGTATATTTTTTTTTCATGTTTCACAGAATGAAATTGTTTGTGCTTATCACCTTTAAACTGTTATAGCATCCGGTATAGAAGCAAAAAATGGAATGGGTCATGTGAGTTTTATATAGCCACTGAAAGTCACATTTAGGCAGGATTCCCACAAGTTACATTACCTTCTCCCATGATCCTGTGCTCTGCAGTTCTCCTCCCATAATAGATTATGTTTGGCCAAAGCAACAGGGAACTTAGAGAGAAGATGGATCATAAACCAGTGAACATACTGGTTTACATTTCCACACGCTATGCTGAGATAATCATACTAGCAAATATAAACATTTTGCTAGCAGATAAAAAAGGTGCAGAACATGTAGGCGGACCCTGACTGGAGCGTTCCTTTATTATAATGTATTAAAAAAAAAAAAAAAGTCATTGTTCATGGAATTCATAATTCACTTAATGATGATTCAAGAATAAAGCATGTCCCTTGTATCGTTATTAATTTTATTAAATACAGGCATATGTAGATACGCCCGAGAATATCCTTTAAAATATATGCTAGGAGAGGTAGAACTGTGAATAAATTATTAGCAATTTTTAACAAAACATCAGAATTGCGGCGCAGGCTCCAATCACTGAACTACATCCGATTCTGACGAAGGTTCCCATTCCCAAATGATCTGCAATGAGAAAAAAAAACACTGAAAAAAAACGGTGTACATATGCACATGTGTGCGCAATCCTAAGCTAACAGTTCCGGGCAAACATGCTTTGGCACATAGATGTGCGCACACAGTCACATACACGCGCAATAGCGTACGTGCGTGCACATGTTAGCGCACTGGTGCATGCTTGTTAGCGGGCACACTTTTTCTATTTAAACGGACAGAAGCCATGATCAGGTTGCTGAGTAAGCTTGTCCCTGTGTGCCCTGCGTCCTGTACCTGTGTTCCTGATCCCTTGTGTTATCTGATCCAGTCCAGAGATCCCAGTCATCCTGGTCATGCATATTCACCCACCAGTCCAACGCACTCAAGCACTTCTACGAGACCCAGGCAGCCACCACTAATGGCGCCTGTGCCTCTCCTCGACCTTACATCCCCTGTCACCACCTCCAGAGTTGTGGGACGAGAGGTGCATGGGTAGCCCCCTTCTCAGTTGGGTCTCCATTCAGGTATGTGATAAAAGTCTTGTCCCTTCCTCAGCATGTGACTGCAGAGAGAAGGAGAAGCAACAGACTGATAAGCTAATCTCTCTGCTTTCTTCTCCAACCATGTTTCTTGTTAGCACATGAGTGTACAGAGGATTGCAGGAGTCCGATACCAATTAAAATATAGGTACTTGCAATGCTTCCATTCATAAATATATTGCGATTAACATAAGTGAATATAAAGTTGTATTAAGAATATAAAGTTGTATTAATTTGTGATTCTCATATCTGCCTGATGTTCAGCTTTCAAAAGGGATTACATTAGGTGAGGGCCAATTCTGTATTATACAGAAAGAAGTCCTTGGCAAACGGAGTTTATTCCCCATTGTCAAAGACTATAAGCCCCAACTAGTCATGTCTGTATAGCACTCACCTTCCTTCATGCTCCGGATTGCTTTGTGCGACTCGGTTTGGACCAGCTTGTGCCAAGTACGATGTTGAAATATTTGTTGGCACTCTGAGCGGCCTGAAAGCAATTTCAGCATTCACACTGCGGGGATTATTCTTGGATTTCTTGTCTGAAACATAAAACAGTCTATTCAGCCTGCAATCAATTGTCAAATAACAACCTGCTTGCCATTTCCTATAACAATATATTGCTATTGGAAAAAAGGAAACAGAAACACAAAATAAGCATGCACATTGTGTTACAACATTCCAATGTGTAACAATTTGTGCATTTTAGCTGTGCTGTGTAGCAGTGAACAACTGGAGAAATGTTAGAAATGTCTTGCCTCCAGTAACCAATCAAGTCCCGGCATTCATTTACCTGGTAATCAGAGACACTTGCGGCATAACACATTTTTTTATTTACTCTGATATTAGAAATAAACCTTATTATGTGAAGAAAGTACATCATAAATAAACAAAATGATATATTCTCATTTGTGACATATGCTGATAAATCGTTGTTCGCTGCAACTCATATTAGATGTATGGAAAGGATACATGTACAGAAAGATGTACGAAAATGCTTTATATCAGAAGGGCTGCAGTTAATGTGAGAAAAAGGTTTATTTACAAATGTGTTTTCCCTGTCATACTGTTTGGGGATCATTTACATGGATGCAGAGGTCTGTGTACCGAAAAAATGGCTGGATCTCTGTGACTGGGCGCCACAAGAGTTTTGTGCAGCCCACCTCTACAAGTCCATGACAGGCTGCGTCTGTACGCTGGTCCTCCAAGTGTGTACACCGGTATAGGTTTGCATGTACGAAGAGTGTCTGCATCCAGGAAATGCATAGAAACTGTATGGATGTACACACTCTGAGCAGCGTTTATCAGCGTACAGTCGCAGCCTGTCATGATGTTGTTGGACCTGTCAATCAAGCATCTGATCCGCCACTCAGACAGCAACGCCTGAAGGGTGGTTTAGACGTTTCACTGACATCTCTAATCCGCTGTGCATGGCCTTCGGAGGTGTGAAAATGCTGGAGTGATGTCACCAGGACGTCACAGCTTAGCCCTGCCCTCCAACCTGGGGTGTGAAAATAAGAAAGGCCGTCATGTGACCAATAAATAGAGGATTAAAATATATAAAATACTTATTTATTTTTTTAAGCATTTCATATGCAGTTCATTTGCAGGTGCTGTTCCCTGTTTATTCGTAGGAATATTCCATGGGTTTATAACCACTTAGACATTTGATCTAGTTTTTATACAAACTATTACAGTGCTGACTCTAGATATGCTGTCATATCCTTCATGTCCATAAAGCGGAATGGATTCTCTGTTCCAGCAGCAAAAATGACACTGCATATTTATTTGCAGCCAAAAAAAACTGCTTATATATGGCACTCTGCAACAAGCATCAGCATGACAACAAATTGTTATCTTGAAAGCGTGAAGTGCTGCAAGTGACAAAAAAAAATAAACCCCAGGTCTCAAATATAGAAGGCAGAACCCCGCTAGCTTTGTACCGGACACAAACAATTCCCCGAGTACTGTTCTTCTGGTACCTGCTGCTCTGAAAGCCGTGTTTATTCAGCTCCCCTACCGGCTGTGTGTATGTGAAACACACTGGAAAGCATTGTGTGTGTATAGCACACTCCATGTCTGTGTTGATGAAGCATCTATAAAAACACATTTTCATTAATACCCAGCAAGGCTGTTTTGGATGTCTGCTTAATTGCTGCAGGCTGACATCTTTGTCCTTCTTTAATTGCTGCTGATTGACATTTTTGTTTCTAAGCATTAAGCATACGTTTAGAAATTAGTCTCTGTGATTTTAATACAGGGTGCTTAAAAGAAAAAGCTATGTTTAGGTTTGCTCAATTATGTCAACAACTCTTGGCAGAAAATAATTTGTGCAGAAATTAGCACTTAAGAGCCACCCAGCTCAGCGCTGTGCCAGCTGTAGGGCTCTGAGTGAGTCGCTGGAATGAAAGCCCGAATTAGTGCCATGATTACGATTTGCCATGTTTAACATCCATTAACATATGTGTGGTATAAGAGCGCTTGAATGCGATTTAGAAGAAAAAAAAAAAGAGAGCTAGAGACATGGGCTGAATGGAACGCTGTTTACTTACATTTATTTGAGTCATTTGGAAGGAAGTCGTCCTGTCCATTATTCAAATGGAGATCCGGACTAGCAAAGTGGTGTGAACCTCCTGGCAGATAGACGTTTGTGATGCGTAATGGCGGGGGTTTGGTCAAGATGAATGTGGACACTGGATGCACTGTCTCAAGGACAGGATTTGGAGCCAATAATGCCTAGACCAGATCCAAGGAAAACAAATTGAAGTGTCTATTAACAATTTTGTATAATTTTACTCTTATATGGATGGTGTTTTTACGGTTTATAAGTCAGGCTAGGTAAGAACCCATGGGCTTATTTATAAGGCAAACTGCAGAAACCAGCAAAACACTACCTGTCATTATTCCGACAGATAAAATCTATTTGGATACAATGCAGGGGAAGAATGGGCTGGTAGAAACAGGAGCATTTGGCCCCTGGGCCAATACTATTGAAATATGTTTAGCTGGTCTCTCAACCAGGCATCAAGCAGAGCAGGACCCACAGCCAGTGACAAATGTTGGGCATTATATAGCTACCTGGTGATCGTTCAAACCTGTGATCACACTTCCAGCACCAACTAGCCTTATGACTCTGTGATGTCATGAATGTCACGCACTGAAAGGGCCTCTTAGTTGTAGTTGCCCCCCGAGGCCAAATGTTTGCATAATTCAATATTTATGGATCTGGGTCTCCGAGTGGTGGTAATCTATACATATAGCATACTTGAAGTTATACACTCCAATAATATGCACATGCACTCTTGCCATACACCTTTGTGCAAAATAGAACTAGTGAATCTTTGTATGGGCGTTTCAATTGTCATTGTTTTGATGGGTTAGGCTTATGTTTGACTACCCACTAATGGATTATTATTATATTATACTATATTATTCTTATTATACTAAAATATTTTGGGGTATTACAATTGGTAGTGTGGAAGACTTGACTCATTCTCAGTGGGACAAAATGGATGTCTACAGTAAGACTTGGCATTACTGGATATGCTTTCTGTTTTTCTAACAATGGTAAATGACTCTTGGCGAGTGCAGACCAGGGGGCTCTCTCTATCCCCTCAGTTTCCCCTTTTGCTTTTTTTCTTTAGCCATGTCTATCTTCTTGTGAATTATTTTGCTCTCTCTTTCTCGGAACCCATTGCTTCCTTCCCCAATGGTTACCCATCTTTATGTCTCCCTTGACCCTATCTTTACTAGCCTTATCGGCATGTTCTGTTTTCTCTGACACCCCCCCTCAACCCCTTTCCCTCTTTTTTTCCATTTCCTGTCCCTTCCTTTTTGTTTTCTCCCAGGAGCCCCTTGTATTCCTTTAATTGCTAAAAGGTACTTCATGGATGGTGGAATCCTATTTACATTCTGTCTAGTTGCCCCATCCTCTCATGTAAGAGTATATCAAGACGTTGTGTAGTTGGATTATTGGGAGGCAAGGGAGGTAATCTGATGTGTCTTGATTTATCCCTTCAATTTGGCTCTACTGTGTTGGAGCCCATTGTGCTCATTTTCATTGTTTGCGAATTCATAAATAAAGAAATTGAAAAAAAATGGTGGTGTGACTCTTTGCCGAAATCCTGTCTTTCTGTGATTATGGCCCTGCACGAGGAAATCGAAAAGAGACTAGATACTCTTCATACATTTGCCCTAATAGAGAAGAATTTGGCTGGTTGGGGCATTGCCAAGAAAGGAGCGGCATTGCTTTACATTGCCACAATATTGCTCAGTTTTCATTTATTGCTCTGTTTAAAAGCATTGCGCGAGAGATATTGTTCAGCTGAGAAACCTTATGTTTACTGCAATGTCAGTGTTATACATCTACACGGATGCTAGAGGTGTTGTTTCTTATCACAACACTGAAACTGATCTGATTACATGAAAGGCAAAGCCTCCAACTTGGCACTAACCTAAACAAATACAGCAAGTTGCCCCTCAGAGGAAGGTATGAATCTGCTAAAAACTTTGCTGAAATCTATGCAATGTATAGAAATGACCAGGAGTGGAACCAATAACATGAACACCCCCATAATTATTATTTCCTGTTTATTACACAGTACACTAAACTGCCCCAATCTGGTGCTGGTTACAGGAAAGCAACGCATCAATATTTTGGCAGTTTTGGAAATAACAGAGGGCTGAATATTTAAAGAGAAAGAAATCAATTTTAAAGGGGAACTATATATTTTACTCTTTTAAAAAAAAAAAACTATTTTTATACTTATCATTGGGCTTCCTTCAACAAATAAGCACAGCACATTTGTATTCTTCCAGCACTGCCCTTTCTGCAGCTCTCTGCATTCAGTTGCATAACATTTTAGAGCCGCAAAGAAAGTCAATGTCAGGCGCTGTGTTTGCAGGTCTGAAGAGGGAGCAGATACATATATAATACCCAGCAGTTACCAATGAATGCAGGTATGAAAAGTAAGAAAGTATCTCCACTCAGGGCCACCAGCTCAGCATATATTGTTTGTACTGATCCATGGAGGGGGGTCCCTCCAGCATGGTCCTTTCCCGATATTCAGTATATATAATCTTTGCCATACCCTTGCCAATTTTGCTTCCTTCATTAGTTTTCATCTAGAAACATTTCTGGGTTTCAGGCAACCAAACAATAACATTAGGAGTGAAAAATGATTAAAGGAGAACTATTGGGTTAGGGCTTTTCCCCATAGTTCTCATAAGGGTAACGGGAGGACACAAACTAGCGTCCTCCCGTCACCCAAAGCTCAGTATACCGCGAGCTACAGCTCGCGGTATACTGAGACGCCGCAGCCGTCACATATCCCGACAATTCTGTCTGGATCCACCCAGCTGCGTAAGTGACAGCTGGCTCTGCCTATCCCGAGGCAGAGCCAGCTGTACCCACCCCCTCCCCCGTCCGTTCTGCCAGTCAGCGGTTGAGGATCGGACAGGGGAGGGGGAGAATCCCTGCAGGGCGCCGTGAGTGACAGTCACGGCTCTCTGCACGGATAGATCGAGAAGTGAGCGAGCGCCGGTATGTGTTCGCTCACCTCCCGATCTACTGAGCCGACCTGTGACAGTTTCATTGTCACAGGTCGGCTCAGATTATGAGGCTGAGTGAAAATCACTCGCTTCATAATTCTCCTTTAAGAATGCCTTTTACTAAACAACATTGAGGTGTTTCTAAATCATTTGTGATTTGGTACATGAAAAACAAGGAAAAAACAAGTTGCTGAAAACTGACTGAAAGCCACCAAACAGACAATGATGTTCAACCAGAATCAGACTAAAAATTAGTAGTAAATCGATAATTATTCTACAGAAAAGGAATCTTTACTTGCTGTTCTAAGGAATACATATCTGCCCGGGTTCTCTCCTCGCTGGTCAAGGCAATGCCATCTAATATCTGCAGGTTCTGCAGCCGGAGGATAAGCAACTGGCGATGGAACATTTTTCGGGATATCTAAACGGTAGAAAATACAGATCATTAATTTCACTATAGTGAAAACAGGCCTTGTTTTTCAAAATACTTTTTGTTACAAACAAATGATGGTGATACAAGTAGACATATTCCGAATACTGATGCAAATGCATAAAACGGAGCATTAGTGGGCTGGTCAGAGCTCTGCAATTTAAGCACATTTACCACACCATGAAGTAAACCTCTGCCTTCCCCAAGCAGGCTATGGGGGCAAAGTACCAATTTCACTTTTATACTGCCCTTGCCAGCTGAACACTTCCCGCTGAAACCAAAGAAAGGAAGCACTGTGTAGGATCTAGGCCACTGTAGTTGGAGCTTTACACAGGTCTTATGACTTGCTGTGACAGTTTCGCTTTGAGACCTAGTTCTGTGGGTCTATCTCCCCAAAGAAAGGAAGCACTGTGTAGGATCTAGGCCACTGTAGTTGGGTCTATCTCCCCAAAGAAAGGAAGCACTGTGTAGGATCTAGGCCACTGTAGTGGATCTATCTCCCCAAAGAAAGGAAGCACGGTGTAGGATCTAGGCCACTGTAGTTGGAGCTTTACACAGGTCTTATGACTTTGTTGCTGTGACAGTTTCGCTTTGAGACCTAGTTCTGTGGGTCTATCTCCCCAGGTGAGCACTGTTACAATTTCTGCATTCACTGGGTGGAGGTGAAGGTCTGTTAGGATTCTGTGGCAACTGCTTACTTGTAAGTTTGAATCTATCTAGTGGTGGACTATCCCCTGCATTTGTTTGCACGATTATAATTGTTGCACATTGGACTTTGTTTTTATCACTCTGTTCTCATCTTTTCATGTTTTGATGTGCTTTTTTGAATATATTTTTAAAGCACATACTTATATATCTTGTTATACCTCTTTTTAATATGATTATTGTTTTCTTTGAGGCTCTTCAAGGGCTCCATAGACTTCTGAAATGCATGGGGGCAGGTGATAAACCCCCACTGAGAGCTCACCAGCCTGATGGTATTTCCACTGCTGATTATAAGTCTCTAAGCTTCAGTAATCTGATTCCTTCCAAGGATTTAGTGAATTATTTTTAACATAGGATACTTACTGGATTTCCAGACACAGATAGTTCTAATAGTGTTGGGAGAGCCTCTAGCTTTTCTACTTCTGAAATTTCCTGGTGAAAGATAAGGAAAAAGGGAAACCCGTTGTCATGTTGCTTAAACGTAAACATGTACCTTTTAATCATAAATTATTATTGATTTTAAAAAAAATTCTCATGTTTGCATCCTGTATTTGTTCATTAAAACTTTAGCGATAGTATAATATAATAAAAATGCTAATATAGAATACAACTGATGTTGATGTCATTACAACGAAGACTGATTCTCTGCCTTAGCCGAATAGGCTAATGTGCAAATGTGACCACCTACCATGTTCATCTTTGCACACATATCTGACAAAAATACGTTTTTCAGTTTCTTACAATTCCATTAGGGTTATGTGACGTGACAATTTTAGATACAGATAGCGGGACATTTAACGACCAAATTAGCTACAAAATTAGACGCAAATCAGGCTGCCTCTCATTTAGCAAAGTCTATGTGGCAGTTTCTGTGTATTTGCCCCCTTGCGTCTGGAAATCCTGGGCAACCAGCTGAGAAAGATTCGCAGAGGACTGCAACAGATTTAGCAATGCAGATGAGACAGAGTTTCCCTCTAAACAGACACACAATGAGGAAATGATCAGGGGTAGGTTTTATTCAGTTGCATTAGAGAGAGGGACTTATGACCCAAGCTGAACTCTTTAGTAAATATGTCTCAATGCTCCTGTTTAGCACTGACTTGCTGTGTGACGGAATTGATACATGTCCCCCATAGTGCTTATTAGAGTTCCTTGACCTTGTCACTGAAACAAATCATGGTATCACTTACAGTTTAGTTTACTATCTTACATTTAGTTTACTCATTTGTATTAAGATTGTAGTCCATCACGGGAGCGAGCTTGGAGCGATGGCTACTTTACAACACGCACAAGGGACCATGGGGAACATAAGTAGCCACCGTCCAGAAGGAAGGACAATGTCCGCACCAATTCAGAGATGATTTGGGGATCTACAGCCGAGTGATACACCATAAGGTACATTTTTGTTAATAGTTGAGGTACTTGAATGCATTTTTAAGATTTAACTCCTGAGTTTAGTGTCACTTTAAAGTGAGGCAGTGTATCACTCGGCTGTAGATCCTCAAATAATCTCTGAATTGGTGCCGGCACTGTCCTTTCTTCTGGAGGGGGGCTACTTTTGTTCCCCATGGTCCATGTGTGTGTTGTAAAGTAGTCACTGCTCCAAGCTAGCTCCTGTGATGGACTACAATCTCAATACAAATTAGTAAACTAAACCTGAGATTGTAGTCCATCACAGGAGTGAGCTTGGAGCGGTGGCTACTTTACAACACACACAGGGACCATGGGGAACAAAAGTAGCCACCCTCCAGAAGGAAGGACAGTGTCAGCACCAATTCAGAGATGATTTGAGGATCTACAGCCGAGTGATACACAAAGATACATATTTCTTAATATTTAAAGGTACTTGAATGCATTTTTAAGATTTAACTCCTGAGTTTAGTGTCACTTTAAGTAATTCTTAAAACTGAAACTAAGCATGGTTGTGTTGACAGATTGGAAATTCACAAAGCAAATCACAGACATTACCGACGGCCATATTGTACCTGAATTTTATTGAATCCAATATACAGTTTCTTTAGTGTGATAAGATGGAGTAAGTTGCTAACTTCTCTCAGCCTATTTTCTTCCAGTCGTAGAGACACCAGAGAACTCTGTTTGGCAAGCGACGTTTCAGTAATAAGTTTAATACGGTTATGGTCCAGGACAAGGTCTTGAAGAAACTGTAAACCTTCAAGTCCTTCCACTTGGGTGATTTCATTTCCTGATGTGAAAGACCCAGACAGAACAAAGGACAATGGATCCCTGAATACTGAGGATTATCACACAATTATACCTTTGCAATCAATGTAATTCTTTTTTTATTTTTTAAAGGGCAACTCTGATGTTGTGACAAGTTTGAAAATGTAAGACAATTCAGTAAAATCAATGAATACCGTGTATGAACTATGTTGAGGCCTCATGTCTATGCATGCTTCTTTAGTTCCAGGAAACATGTCTGGAAATGTGAGTCTGTGGGAACTGTGAACCCATATATGTTTTTGAAGTCAAAATGACTCAGGAAAAAAGGATTGTGTATATGTTAAAACATACGTATGTACAAAAAATATATAGGAGGACAGATCTCATAAGCAACCGACAAAAGAGATGGTGTGTACCAATGTTTTTTTGAAGATGTAAAAATTATGAAAAAGTCAATTCCGAAGTTATTTTAACCCCTTATTGCCCACAATTTGTATAATAATATTCCCCAGCATAATGCCCCATGCTAAAGATACTGCTCTACTGTTTGAGAACCAGCAGCCTACATTTTGGGCAGCCGCTGGTCCCTAATCCCGAGGTCCCCACTGACGATCTTGAGCCATTTGGAGTGGTTACCAATCATGTGGTCACTATGTCAGCTCTGGCAAATACTCAAACTCTAACCCAAAATATGTGCCCACTGCAAATACACTTTAAAAAGTATGTGTTCTAGGATACGAACAATAGTGCATGTGAATTTAAATAATGAACTGTATGGCAAAAAGTTTGTGGCCTCATAACCATGACATCTATATGAACTTGTTGGACATCCCATTCGAAAACAATGGGATAAATATGGAGCCCCCCCCCCTTCCTTTAAGGAAGCTTTACACAAGATTTTGGTGTGTGTATGTGTAAATTTGTGCCTATTCTGCCAAAAGAACGTATGGGAGGTCAGGTACTGATGTTGGATAAAAAGACCTGGCTCACTATTATAAGGCTCTGTGCAGGGCTCTTGATTTCCTCAACATCAAACTGATCAAACCTTGTCTTTGTGGAGCTGGCTTTGTGTACAGGTGCACAGTCATTCTGCAACAAAAAACTGGTGACGCCGAAACTCTATTATTAGGAGGTCCCTCTACATACTTTTGGCCATACAGGTAGGTGTAATGGTCAGGTACCCACAAGCTTTTTGCCATATAGTTTAGTTTTTCTCTTGCAAACTGCAGATTTAAAACAAAAAAAACCCAGTTCCTATTTTCTAATGTTGCACACTGTTTCTTTAAATTACCCTGCAGAAAGAGTGACTTCAAATTTCTTAGTCTACTGAGCTGCAGTTGAGGCAAATTACTGATTCCATTGTAGCCCAGGTGAAGAACTTCTAGACTCTGCATTATTGGGGTCATCATCTCGCCGAACAAAGCATCCCTGTAAAATGAACAAAACAAAAATCAATCCGGTTTAATACACAAAATCTTTATTATTGTATACTGTATAATACTGTATATCTCACTGTGTCTTACAGTGTATCTGTAAACACTTTTTTTTTTGTGGGAAGGAAATGAGGAGTTACACTAATCTGGTTATACAAGTCACTCATGGGCCAGAAATTCTGACCTACGGCATATCACTTTCTGCTATGTAAGTGATAACATACTGTGAGAATTAGCTCCAAACGGTAGCACATTAAGAACACCTCCACTCGCTTATTTCTTTGTAAGGGCTTCTTTGCCCCCTTTTATTAACTCAAAAGAAAAGTCCACACAGGTGTTTCCTCGCAGGGGTTTTCAAACATAAAGTACAGCTTTTTTTTTCCTTCAGCAACATAACATCTGTAAAGTCTCACCGACTTCAGGTTGTCTCTAACAAAAACTTCTGGCCACACAGGCTGGTTCTTGTCACCTTGTCACACATGGGAATTGCCACACAGGCTAGTCTTTTGCCACACAGGCAGCTTTTTACCACACAGGTGAACTGCTCCCTATAGTCTGCCAGACACACAGTCTGGTTCTAGGGTGGGGCAGCTTTCTTATGAGGCTGGAACTTCTTGTAGAGGCCCTAACAAGCCAGCTAGCGTCAGCTGGGTTTGTTACCTCCAAGCCTCCAGCCCTCTCAGCACTTCCCCCTAGAGGAAGAACTTCATTATTACCCTTGAACACAAACACCCTTATCTGTCTGCTGCCACAATGCATATAACAAAATGCATGAAAAATGTAAACATTCAAGAAAAGCTTATACTTTAAACGATGAATACAAGGTGAAAATAAGTATTTTTTCTAAAGTAAACTATTTGGTAAGAGTAAACCTTTGCACTGCATACTTGCAGACAGAGCCATACACCTATCTCCTTCTGTGTTGTCCACGAGCAATGGCGGATACAGTCACCTGTCACCACCATGTCAACCCAGTTGTTACCATTTCTGCTACCAATTCTTCCAGGTTCCACGGCATGCCCCTTCAGCCACTGGGCGGCCACTGGTGATGGATCTCCTGCGCTTGCACACATAAGTTACCCCGTCCCTGGCACCTGGCCCATTCCCAGCATCTTACAGATGCCAGAAATGAGCTTAGAGTATACAGAATTCAAAACTGAATTTGATTAACACACAGGAAAGCAGAAAACCCCATTTATCCCCGCTGTTCATGACAATTTATTGGATGTGAAAAAGTATCTTTACTTTCTTTCTTTTCTTTCTTGCTGTATTTATTAATCTACTTTTTCCAAATTCCCCCCCAGGATGTATCACAGATGCACATTACAGTAAAGGCATAAATAGGGAACCTCACGTTACCTTCATGAAGAAACGTCCCATAACAACATGGAAACAAAGACCAACCAATGACATGTTACCTGGTAGCCTTGCCCTGCTGTCCATATCCACTGGAGTTGACTTTTTGGTGCAGTATTTGCCTGTTTGTTAGGTGATTCTGCGACTTCTGTTTGGGCAGGATTGACTCAATGTGATTGTAATTTAGATACAAATTCTAGAGAAAAAAAACCCACAAAAACATTACTTAGTAAAGTGATTCAGTCAACGTTATGTGATGTTAGCTGGGTGGAACTGGGCATATGTCACTTCAGAGGCCAAGCCATAATGCCCTACATTCTATTTACCTGTACATACAGCCCACATCTTACTGATTAGAGCACATGGTCCATATAATATAGTCATAACATTCTCAAACATAGTTAACTGTGCATGCAGCCTGCACTTGCAGCCTATACCTATAAATTTGGAAGACATTGACACATGCATTTTAAATAGAAGTCAGAAAAATCTTTATCATTACATGAGAGACTCAACAACATATTCACACAAAACATTATCAGCTACTTCACTACCCACACCCACTGACTAATCATCAACCCCCTGCCCCCACTGGTGACCCTCAACAGAAACTCTACCCCCTGTACCACAGGCACAACACTGCTTTCCCCTGAAATAAACATGCCCAACCAATACCTCCCCAAGGTGATGTCATGTAACCACCCCTCTAGACTGATGACTCACAACAATTCCCTCACCATAAAACTAATCCATGATCTCCCCTAACCCAACTCTCAATCCATGAGCACCTCCAAAAACACATAACACACTAGTCATCATCCCTTTGCCAACACCTACCCCTTGGAATAATAACATCAAGGCCACAAGGACAGGGGACATCCATCTACAAACCTTTAGACAATTTTATTTTCATTGCATTCATTGTGCAGTTATTTCTCTGAATTATTTTTTCATGCCTAGATTGCATGATATTTATCAATGTATATTTTATTTTTATACATTTATTCCATACACCCCCACATGAACATTCTGTTTCATTACACCCATTCTCTCACTTGGTTGTTTATTCCAATTTCTACATTTGTACTGTTCATCAAACCGACACATTTACATTGGTATTATATATTTCCAGATAAGGATAGAGGCTTTGTCTTCATATATATCTGTCTAAACATTCTACTATGAGGGAGGTGTCAGTATGATATAGAAATATATGCTTGATTACCTTTAATGGAACACAAATGAATCCACCAACATCCCTCTCATTATTGTAAATATATACATTAAGTCAGATTGAAATGTGCTGTCTTGTATTATTCATAGTGCACTTAACTACAGAGTCGGGTTCGATGGATATACATATTCTACATTAATATTACTTATTTATAGTGATGCCAGTCTTACTGCTGAAATGTCTTTGAGAGCTGTGCTATTATTAGACTGTGCAAAATCTACTCCTTTAGATTTAACCCCTTCCAAATAGTCAGGGGATTCAGTGTCTCTGCTTTCTTATGTCCAGGTCACTACAAGGGTAAAATCTACATTGTGAATACGTTGTTTGACGACATTGCCAATATTTGTCAGAAAATATACACATTCAGCATTATCGATTCTATGATTCACGGCACAGTATACACAGATGATTGTACAAAATAGAAAGGTGATAAAGCATAAATTAAAATCTAGTGTGTTTTCATTTTAAAAGGTATCATTCACCTTCTAAAACAAACAAAACACAGGGCGTCCTAATATGTGCAGAATCATCTTTTATTTTAATAGATAATGGGTAAAAACATACTCACATGGATCGCAGTACAACAAGTGTATTAATCCTTCAATCTAATGTAGGAAATATCCCATAAGAAGTGGTCACCACTTGTCCATGCCCCAGAAACGCGTTAGCCATAAGCACAGAAGTTTAACAGTGAGGCAGCATGCCAGCTGGCGCATCGGTTTCTTCTGTGTTGAACACTTCTTATGGGATATTTCCTACATCAGATTTAGGGATTAGTATGCTTGTTGTACTGCTATCCTTGTGAGTATGCTTTTATCCATTATCAATTAAAATCAAAAAGACGATTCTGCACATGTCGGGGAGCTCTGGGTTTTGTTTTAGAAATCGAGTCAAGGTTCCCTAGTCCTTTTAGAGGAGCAGCATGGTGTGCGAGGATCGTTTTTTGTGGCATATCGATTGGGAGAAAGTCGGTTGATCAGCTGTCACAAGCGCCGGACATATCATACAGTTTGGATTGTATTATTCACCTATAAATGCTGGTGGGCTGGACCACCTACTGTAAGATACTTACCTGCAGATGGACTCTTGCTCAAACATGTGCATGCACACAAGTATGCAATCCATTGGCCAAAGTTCCAGGGAAATGCACTTTAGCACGTGAATGCGCGCGTACGGGAAAATTTATGCGCAATAGTGCACGTATGTGAGCGCGCAGAAACAAGCTCGTTAGCGTGCACACTATCCGATTTAAACAGATAAGAAGCCATGACCAAGTTCCCGAGTGGTCTTCAGCTTGTCCCTGTGTCCCCTGTACTCTGTTCTTGTATCCTGATGTCCTGTGTATGAACCCGGCTAGTGACCAACTGACTCCGCCTCCTCCTCCTGATTCGGTACCTCTGCTCTCTGATCTCCTGTGTATGGCCCTGGCTTACGCTTCCCGACCCTGATCCGTGATTCGGCACCTCAAGATTCGGCTCCCTGTGTATGACCTCGGCTTGAACCCGATTTCCCTCCTGGTCTGCCACTTGGTGAAATGCTCCATCAGTATCCTGAGCAACGACACCCTGCCAGTGCTTCCTTGGCCTCATACCCGTTGCCTGCTCTGGTTTCAAGAGGTCCCGGTGTTATCTCGGTCCTGCCGATTCACCAGCTAGTCCAACGCACTCAAGCACCTCCTCAAGAATCGGCCAGCCACCAGTATCGGCACCTGTGCTCTGCTCTGTCCTTACATCCCCTGTCACTACTTCCAGAGGTTTGGGACAGGAGGTGTCCCCTTCTCAGCTGAGTCCCCAGTCAGGTACCTGATACCGACTCTAATCTCTGCAGATCTCTGCCATAGTTTCTAAATATCTCTTTCCTTGCCCTGAGATCTCATTTTTCCAAGTCACAACAACAGCATTCTTATTCATCTTGATGCATTCTCCGTAATGCAGAAAAAAAAAATTAAAGCTGAACTCCAGGTAGATATACAAGACACAAATCAATGCAGCTTTGTATTCATTGATATATCATTAAATGTGTCTTTTTTTTTTTTTTATGAAAGCAGTGAAAACACCTGAATCTGATTTAGTATCTTGCTCTTGCACAACAGAGCAAAGAGAAGGCGAAGCAGTACAAGGAGCCAATCAGTTGTGCTATGGTGGTCATCTGCTAAGGAGGATATTCTGGTAGGAAGAGAGAGCAAAGTGACAAAGATATAAGCTCTTCCATGTGCTGCTTCTCATTTCACTGTCTAGTCACAGGCTGCCAGACAGGACTGTGCTGTATAATAGAGCCCTTAAACCGCAGATAAAACAGCTCCCTGGTTTCTTGTTCTCTAACTATTCTCTTGCTCATATCTTTAGCATCTTCTTTTTTTCTTCCATTTTCTCACTTTCTTCTTTGATTCCCTTTCACTTCTTCATTCTCTCTTATATTTATACTACGGTGGGTGGGGTAAGGTGTGTTTCGATCACTTGTTGCCCATTGATTGGATTAGCTATGTGATATGCTTAGAACAATATCGCAACCTGAGCATTATATGTTAATTGTATTGGCACCTATACCACCTTCTATACTTGAGTTTGCTTAGTTTTCATCTGTCTCTATCTGTATCTGTATGTTGGTTGTAATCTAGTATTTTCCTTTGTCTTACGTTAAAATGTAATTATGTAAAAAGCAACTCCTTGGTATGTATTTTATTGACATATTTAGCTGTTTTCCTGGAGTTTATAGATATAAGTGATTCTGCGCTGGACCTAGAAAAATGTATAAGTGCTAGTGTGCCAATTTAGTTTGAAGGCTGCAGCAAAATCGACCGTTGGGTCAAAACAGATAACTTTCAAATTATGCAGCGCCCCCAACATATAATGTGTTGAATGTCATAAATCCTAAATTTAATTAAATATAAATATAAAATAATTCTAATAAATAAATATAATATATATAAGTGATTCAGATAAATAAATTATATTCATATAACATACACATGAATGTTCAGTGCCTTCAAAATCTTTTTTTATAAGAAAAAGTCATCAATGGCCCTGGATCCAGGGCCACATCAACTAATAATTTATGGTGGTTGTCACTAATTATTTCACATACCCTGTGGGATCAATGATCCAGGGCCATTGATGACTTTTTCTTATAAAAAAAGATTTTGAAGGCACTGAACATTTATGTGTATGTTATATGAATATAATTTATTTATCTGAATCACTTATATAATGCATAATTTGAAAGTTTTCCTGAAGTTTAGCCTTAAAAAGTAACTGAAACAGTGGGAACCTTTTATACTGTTTCTATCCACCAATCCTTACTAAAGCTGGGTAGACTCACCCGTTAAAGGGAAGCCGTCATGAGAGAAAAATGAAAGCTGCCATTGCTTTTGAGAATGCAAGTTTCCTGGTGAGTGTGCTGGGAAACTTTTTGCTGTTGTACTGTATAAAGCCCTTCCATGTGCACCTTGCTTTAAAGCTGGTTATGAGTTGATGAGTGCGTTTCCCATTCGTTTTGCTTGTCTGATTGGGGGTCTCAGCTACCCTAGTGATGTGCGGGGTCCCTGGCGTGTCCCTGTGTCTTTAACCAGTTGACATCCGCGGTGTTAAACCCCCTTCCCATCCAGGCCATTTTTCAGTATTCAGCGCTGCGGTACTTTGACTGACATTTATTCCGTCATGCAGCGCTGTACTGAAATTAATTTTATTCTAGACCCCTAATGTCACCTGGAGACCCCAAAAGAAGCTGATGAAGCACAGATTTGCTTCATCAGCTTCTTCTCTCTGGCAGTAGGAGCCAGATGACTGACAGGTGAATGCGGAAGTGATGTAATACACATCACTTCTGCATTCACACTACAGAGGGAGAACAGCAAGGAGCTGATCTCCCTCCCTCCTTCTCCTGACACCCTCCCGAGCCGGTCCCGGGCCGCAGATGGGCTAGCGGATCCCGGGATTAAAGGCGAGGGGTCAGGAGGGGGGAGATGGCGGCACTCGCGATTGGGGGGGGGCGCTCTGAAATTCACGCCATACAAGCGATCGGCGGCTATAGAGCCGCTGATCGGTTGTATGTGAAACAGCCGTTAACGGCTGTAGTAACGAGCAGGTCTTTCCTGCCCGTGCGCGCGCGCTAGGGGGCGCGCGCGAGCAGGAAAACAATGCTGATGCGAGTCTGCCGTCCGTCCATTTTTTAACGGCCGGACGGCAAGAGGTTAAGGAGGTTGGGCTGCATCCTGGCGAACCTGCACCCAATTTATCTTTTGCTACATGTGCTCCAAGATGGAGACTCTCATAGGTTAGAGTTAGAACCCCAATACACAATCCTTAAAAATGTAATTTAGGTTAAAGTGCCGCATATAATAATACAAATAGAATAAAGAGGGACATTAGATATTAGCAATAAACCGTTAATAATCCAATGTTACCTTTATGTGGGGTAGGAAAATCAAACCACTGAATGATGTTAGATTGTTGTTTTCTAAATTCACCGTATGGATTCCTCTAAATTGGTCAGCTGGAACAAGGTCAACAGATCTGGAAACAAGAAAGGAAAATGAGACAGTTACACCTGTTAGATTTGTTAAAATTTGACAACAGCACTGAATAATATTAGACTAGTGTGTAAGAAGGGAGATGTAGACAGCATTCCAATGTTCTGGTAGGAAATAAGTTTCAAATATATTTTGCCCTTTTAAGTCAGATTAATATGAAATATTGCATACACATATTTTGTACTCTCATTTTCAGCCAGCAAGCAGAGATCTGGCTTTCTTTTTGCATGTTTTCCAGGTTATTCTTTTGTGATTTGTGCAAAAAAAAAGGTTCACGGAGCTGAATAGTGTAGGCTCCAATTTACACCCACAAGTTGATGAGTCCGAGCAGTAACTCATCCCTACTTCCTAAATAGCTGCTAAGCTGTCCTTCTATCAAACTTGCAACCACAGTCTGAAAGGACTCTCAGAAAACATAAAGAAGAGAATTTATCAATACTGGAACAGACAAAATCTGGAGCAGCTGTGCATGGCAGCCAATCAGCTTCTACCTTTCATTTTTATATCTTAACTGAACAACCTAAAGATAGCAGCTGATTGGCTGCCATGCACAGTTTCTCCAGATTTTGTCGGCTCCGGTCTTGATAAATTCCCCTCAAAGTGTCGCTGGTGCAGCCTGCAAAAGATTATTTGTACAACAACAATTTTATATAAAGAGTAATATAGATCTTTAAAAAAACAGCTAAACTAAATGAAAATAATAAAATTACACAAAACCATTACAGTTCCCTTTAAATCATACAATAAGCACAGATCTGCAGTATTTTCTAATAGTGTACCCGGTTTCAGGAGCGCAGCCACCATATGTTACCTAATCGAGGATGATCTCCAGTTTAGCTCTTGCAGTTCTGTAAATTTTTGATGTCCAAGCTTTTCAACAATCATATCTGAACTGAGTCTTCCACCGAAAATATCTTTCGCATTTTCACTCTCTAGCTGATCCTACAAAAGTAAAACAACAATATTTTACATGTTAGAGAAATTCATGTTAGGAGAGATGAAAGTATGACAAAGGCAAAACTTTTTATACAAGGGAGGTGTCACAACCTCTGTACACTCTTATTTGATGTCTATGTCTCCAGTGGTGAAAATCAACCTATTTGTCCAGATTACCATTGTCACTGGAAAAGAAAGTGGTCCAAAATGTCACCTGAACATACAGTAAGGGGAAATCTTCCAATGGGAATATCTTTTTTGATGGCAACTATTTAGGACAGGATTATCCCTTGCTTTGGAGAGATTTCCTCTCACTGGTGAATGGAAATTCACCAAATGGGATACAGAAAGCGAAAAAAACCTGCTGGCTGGAGTGATGGGTAGATAACCATTCCCTAAGTTATCTAAACCTTTAGATCAGGGGTGCCCACAATTTTTTGTGTTGAGATCTACTTTTCAAATGAGGAGCTACATGAGATCTACCAACGAAAAAAAAACCTCCCTCGCTCTCCTGGCTGTCTCTCCTCTCTCCTGGCTGTGTCTCCTCTCCCTCTCCTGGCTGTCTCTCCTCATCCTCCTGGCTGTCATTCCTCGTTTTCTCTCCTGGCTGTCTCTCCTCTCTCCTGGCTGTCTCTCCTCGCTCATCCTCCTGGCTGTCATTCCTCATTTTCTCTCCTGGCTGTCTCTCTTGGTTGTCTCTCCTTGCTCTCTCCCCTGGCTGTCTCTCCTCTCTCTCTCCTCTGGCTGTCTCTCCTTGCTCTCTCCTGGCTCACCTTGCTGTATTTTGCAAACAGTGTAGTGCAACAGGCTGTGTAAAGTAATATTCTTTGATGTAATACATAGCACTTCAACCACCAGTATCCACCAGAAAGGTGTCGGTGAGCTTGGCTCAGCAGGCTAATACGTAAATCATGTGTGCACAGCTAAATAAATATACCAAAATGGAATAAGGGGGCCGCCATTCACACACTTCGTGATCTACCAGCATCAGCTTTGAGAGCAGCTACTGGTAGATCACGATCTACCTAATGGGCGCCCCTGCTTTAGATATACTTTAAATGTAATGGTTCCACCATTTCAAAGCTTTAGTTTAAACCACTTATGTGGCAGAAATTTCCCACAGACATCTATAAGCCTAGATCATCTTAACTTTCATTTCCTTTGTAGGCTAAGGGGGAAGCAGACTGAACAGGTCTGAACAGACTACCTTGTGCTGGCTATGGAGTTAATTGGTTCCTCTGGAATACATAGGTGTTCCTAGACCCATTAGGAGAACAGTGTGATCATTTAATAAGGCAATGCACTGAGAACATTTTAAGTGTTACTTGTGGTAATTTATTGCAACCAATCAGATTTCAGAAAACACTAGTCAAAATCAATAAAAGATGCATTCTGATTTCTATGGCTCCTGCAATGCTACAGTTTTAATAAACTTTTAAAGCACAGTGAGACTCTACTTCAAGCCTCCTCTCAGATAAACATAGATCCAGTAGGAAAGCACTAAATATTTTATTGAATGAAAATTCACTTCTCGTAATGTAAATAATAAGTATGTGTTCTATAACACAGGAAACACAAAGCATGCAGCATCTTTTACATTTTTTCCCTATCTGCACTCTGTTTACTGTTACTTACCACAGCAGATCCATCCAGAGCTTTTAGTGAAGAAAGATGGAAAATAACAAACAATCGATAGTTGTCATTTTTCACAGAGATTGGATTGCCCCACAAGTCTAGAATCACAAGATTGTTTAAACCCTGTTGGAAAAATAGACCTTAGAATTCAGAAAGACATTGTCATACCCTGTATAATAAATGCAATTAAATTGCTGTCATATTTTGCTGTCTTTTATTTACTGCCCGGGCTTAGTAAAAGGTAACAATAATGCTAATGTGTCAGTACCTGTACTAATCTTTGAATCAGCCCTGTGTACCTGTGGACCTGACTATTAAATATACATATTTAAGCTCTTGTAAAGCCTAATAGCCATACTTTCAATGTCTAAAACAGGTTCTCTTAGTAAAATAATGCAAAAGAATGTTTGAATGTTTTATGGCCATGCCCATTTGTGGGAAGATAATAGATTGTGTTAAAGTTTACCTGGCACTACTGTTAATGGGCTATAATAATATTTCTGCTTCAATGTAAATATTCAGCACTCTCAGGATAAAGAAAAGTTTTCACACGCGTGTAATAATAATTCCCAAATTTCCTTGATAGATCAAAAAACATACAGACCCATTGCACTCCTGACCGGATAGAAAATTGTAGGGTGGGTGCTGAAATGACCGCGGATGCCTCCGCAGAATGAATCCAGAAAATTCAAAAAAGGTCACAAGCACTCCAGCATGTAGAAAAGGAAATGTTTATTGACTTCACAAGTGTCACATCGTCAGAGCGACGTTTCGGAACAGCAAAGTCCCTTCCTCATCCTTGATAGGACACGTGGCCTGGGCTGAATTCCACAATATTGGACACTTAGAGTGCAGGCCTCTCCATGTGGAGACAAAGCCCGTCTGTCCAAGTGCTAAGCTTCTTCTTCTGTCATTCAACTATCAAAACCCAAAATCTCGCCTGTTGGCAATATAATTGCCTTAACCATTTTTTAGACCAGATGAGGTTCTGCCTAAATCAGAAGGCCTAATTAGACGACTTTGCTGTAAATGATAATGATGAGCATGCTTTTATGATAACAACTGTTTCTTATTTGTATATTGTGCACCCCTATAGAGAATGAGTGACATACCTTGAGGTGGTAGATCTCTTGATTGCTGCTGATCTGATTATTGCTCAGGTAGAGTTCGATTAACAGATAGGCTTTCTGTAGTCCTCCTAGACAGCTGATGCTATTGTTCTCAGCAGAAAGGTAGTGTAGATGAGGCAGGTTATCAATAACCTCTTTAGCAAAGCTTGCAAGCTGATTGTCATTTATACTGAGGCGTCTCAGTTTAATGAGCTTTGAAAGGCCTGGAAAATGATAATATAACACTCAGTTTAAAAGCATGCACATCTATAACACATGTGATGTTCGCAACACACCTCTCACACCAGAATGCATGATAGGTGCGATTATGTGGTACAGTGCGTTAATCCCATGGTACTATGTAATTAACGCACTGTACTAGTGTGAATGGGCCCTCAAAACACTGATATACATTCACAACCACAGACATCATCTCACTCACATACATTCTCACACATACACACTCCAAAACATTTTTTTAACTTATTTTATTTGTTTTAAAAGGTCCACCCAGTCTTCCTACCTTATGAGAACTGGAGTGGATCCTCAGCCTGGTGTCCAGTGTGGGCTGCTGTGCTGTAATGGAGTTCCATCCATATGTGCAGTGCTTGTACAGCTCCCTTGCATGCCCTGTAGAGGTGGCGGGAGCCAGAATGCGATGTCACTCCGGTCCAGGCACCGCTACAGGACACGTGAGGGAGCTGTAAGCAAGCAATAGTCCATTTATTGGCACATTGCCATTCAAACGCATTTGAATGGCAATGTGCCAATAAATGGACTATTGCTTGATTATCCTTTGGAGTGCTGGTGATGTTATTTTCTATCTGATCTTTTCACTGTGCCATCCATGGCCACTACAAGCACCCACCCGTCCGTACAGGTCTTTTTGATACTTCGGTAAGGAGTGCAGTGAGATCTTTTGATTTCTGGAGCTGTAAGCAATGCACATATGGATGGAGCTCCCTCACGGCCATAGCCCGAGCCCAACCAACCTCAAGCTGACACTGGGCACAGGGCAGCATATTTTAAATGGCTGCTTGGCGTAAGAACCGACAGTGCTGCACTAGGGGGAGGCAGGGGAGCCTCTCACCTAGAAAAGTGGAAGGTGATCCAGTGAAAACACTGTTACGACCCACTAGTTGAGAACCAAGGATCTAGAGAGAAGCAGGCCCCTCAATGTCCATAATCTAATGAGCTGCTGCTGTTCCTCCCAACATATGCACATGGATGAGATATCTTCATGGCCTATGTATTTCTTTGCTTCAGAACTGCTTTTCTCCACATAGAAGTCAGTTACCATCTGTTTGCTTCATAATGGCTATACTTCCGATATAAATCAATTCAAATGCAAAAGAAGTTTAGAAGGACGTCAGAAGCAGCTCAGAAGGAACTCAGAAACATCTCAAAAATTAAAACATGCTCCTTTTTTTACATCTATACAAGCCCTTAATATGACTAAAAAAAAAAAAACTGAAGGGAGCCCCACATATCCAAACGATTCTAAATGGAATGGACAAAGGGCAGCACCGGTTCAAATCTAGGTTCAGCCAAGACACAATCTGAATGGAGTTTGCATGTTCCCTCTGTGCTTGCGTGGGTTTCTCTGGGTACCCCACACTCCAACACACATGCTGGTAGATTAATATGGTCCTGTCTAAATTAGCCCTTGTGCATATGACATAGGGACCTTAGATCATAAGCTGTTTGATGGCAGGTTCTGATGTGAATGAATAGTATAAAGAAGCCTTGCATAATTTCACAGTGCTATATAACTAGTGTACTGTACATGAAATAAATAAAATAAAGGAATTATAGCATGCTAAAATGGAATTTTGTTTAGATACGATAAAGCCCAGCTTTGTGGGTGAAACACATGAGTGGAGGAGCTCCCCATGGGGACTTTTTGCTTGTTTCCCCACAACAATAAAACTGCCAGAATCTGAACTTTCCACGGAGCTGATCTCCTTCCTAGACTTCTGTCATTTTATAGACAATTTTCTCAAGAATGGCATGTGTATTGTTCTTATTGCAAGATGTTTTTGAAATTCTCTTGATCTTTTTCATGTAAAATTTGCATGACGGTGTTGAATTTTACCTCAATTCAGCAAAATGGTAGCACACCACCTAGTGAATGGAATACCAAGATGTAAAATATACCTTCCAGTTTTGTTATGTTGTTTCCATCAAGGCAAAGTTCTTCTAACTTGACACAATTTTCCAGTCCTTCAGTGTTGGTCAGATAATTGTTGCTGAAAGATGCCCAGCGTAAGTTTTCCAGCTTTTCCAAATGTGATATTTTGGAGAGTTTTTGTCCATCAAAATTAATAGACGTTATCTGTAAAAATGTGGTAGGAAATGTTTCAATGTTAGCCTTTCTGGATTCACACGGAGTCATTCGTGGTTTTCACTGCAAGCACCACCGTATTCACTTTGGTCATATCGCTGTATGGAGTGCAGATGGTATCCGCAACTCTCTATAATATTTGTATAAAATGCCTAGAAAGCTACACAAACAAGGGAATAATTTAAATCCTCTTAGCAAACACTTCTCTGGACATAAAAGATGCCAGAACATCAATGCTACAAGTCAGCAGAGGAACCCATTAAGCCAAGGAGCAGCCCTGGGAAAAGAAATACAGAAAACCTGATGATTTCTAAGGTATATGCACTAACATTTTAAATTAATGGAAATTGAGGAACTCTAAATAAATTGTGTGAATTCGCCATTCCTTTTCCGACTGTGAGCTTCAACAATGCCTCACACTAAACATTAAAATTCCCACATACATTTCCTGCAACTGTTGCTAAATCTATAATTCTTAACTGGGAAGGGTTCAGTGCTGGATGGAATAATATCCTGTGCAATGGCTAAGTTGATGTTTGGAATGCACACACACAGGCTGCTTGAGGCAGGCTTTGATCTCTGGCTAAAAAAAATCTACGAACCATTATTTATTTATTTTGCAAACAGGGCTTCAAAAAAAATCTTTTTAATATAAATTGCCATTTTATGTGTCTGACCAATGTTTTTGTTTTAATCCCTATTCATCCAACTCATGTAATCTATATTCAGATAAAACCCACTTATATGTGTTTTTGAATAATAGCCAAATCTGTCTTTGTACTAGTCTCCTGTAATCCTCTACACATTAGTATTCAGAATAAGAGAAAATGGGGCATTACTGGACACCAGTCAGGCTGTTCTGCAGTTCACAGTGCTGTGAATCTAGCAAATGGATCTTGCTGATAAGAGAAGAGGACAGAGATAACTTTATCAGTGAGCTTCTGTCCCTTCACAAGCCAATCACAGCCTTGATTATTATTATTATTATACAGGATTTATATAGCGCCAACAGTTTGCGCAACGCTTTACAATATAAGGAGGATATTAAAAACACAATACAATTCAAGACAAGATGGTAAGGAGGGCCCTGCCCCTGAGGGCTTACAATTCAAAACGGAGGGGGAAGTGTTACATGAGGAGGTAGCTGTGTGGGAATGAATTGTTTGAGAATGTGATGATCAATTTGATCAATATGTATTGCTTTGATTACAATGGAGGGAAATACAGTAAATGGCCAGGACCTTTTATAGTGTCTGTCATGTGTGTCTGGATCTGAAAATTGGCCGAATTTGTTTTAGTCAGATGAGACACTTTCAGACACCTTAAACATATGTATTTCAATTGTTTATTTAGCTCTTTGCCTACACTTTTAGTGTAACAGATATGCAAAATTTTATATTTATATGCAAATATCAAATATGGAAATATGATATATGGGAATATCAAAATTTGGTATTACTTAAAGGAGAACTATGGGATCAGTGTTTTTCCCCATAGTTCTCCTTAGGGTAACGGGAGGACACAAACTAGCGTCCTCCCGTTACCCTAAGCTCAGTATACCGCGAGCTACAGCTCGCGGTATACTGAGACGCCGCAGCCGGAGCGGATCCCAACGTAGATGACGGGATCCGCCCAGCTGCGTGAGTGACAGCTGGCTCTGCCTATCTAGAGGCAGAGCCAGCTGTACCCGCCCCCTCCCCCGTCCGTTCCGCCAGTCAACGCTGGCAGATCGGAGCGGGGAGAGGGGAATCCAGCCCCTCCCCCTGTCACGGCAGAGAGCTGTGACAGGATCGAGAGGTGAGTGAACCTGGTATGTGTTCGCTCACCTCCCGATCTACTGAGCCGACCTGTGACAGTCTCATTGTCACAGGTCGGCTAGAACTATGAGGTGAGTGGAAATCACTCATCTCATAGTTCTCCTTTAAATACTTCCATTGACTATCAGAACTATTATTTCATAATCTGTCATATATGTATGTCAATATTTTTCTTACCCTAAGATACCAGCTGTTGTTACATTCAGCATATGGATCCAGGCAGTTCTTGCTTATCTGAGATAGGATCTGAGCAGAAGGTAATAGACTAAGGCATCGTGGTTTCACGTTGTCTGTTCTGGCACACATTAGCAGGGATGCCTGCAGATACAGGAAACAACATGATCTTCACTGCTTATCAAACAGCAAACTAATATATTGCAGGGTATTGGTTGTTAGATAAGTTGGTTATATTATTTCCCTCTTCTCAGGCTTTTCCACCTGTCATTTCTCATTTACATAGCTTGGGGGCAGGGTCTTCTGTAGTCCACCGATCTGATCTGTCCAAAGCTAGTAACAATGCAAGAGATAAGATGGCAGAGTGCACAGGACACAGGACATGGCTGCTGTGATAGTCCATCCTCCTTTTCCAGCTTTCACCATCAGCATTGTGGATTGATTGAGATGGAGGCTGGGCTTGTGCACATCAAAGTGTATAATTGTGGGCAACACAACATAGTACTGTGAGTTGGCATGTATTATTGTATTTTTTTGAAGGAACAAGCACCCCTGGGTGACAACCAAGTTACAGTTAACGATTAGTTGTCACCTGGGGACAGAAGCGCCGCACAGGGCGAAAATAAAATGAGAAATTGGAGCACAGCAGACAAAACACAATTGACATAATGGAAAAGAATGTGATTAACGCACAGTAGGCAACAGGATTACATAACAATTTATTGTTTACATAGACTTTAAAACTCCCAGTAAACCCTTACTAAGGACTTGAAGCCCAATTTCAGGTTTCTTTAGCTTTGGAGAGACTTAAGAAGTCAAGTTTTTAGTGCTGTCTGTTGGAGAGATTTCCCTTAATTTGCGGTTTCTGACAGCCTGCAACAATAAAATAAATTATGGAATTGATTGTCATGGGACAGGAAGGCGCAGACCATAACAATATTCAGAGAGAGGTTAGAAGCCTTCCACATTTTGCAAAAAAATACACATTTTGTTGCAAACTGAAGAGATTTCCCATCACTCCCTCTTTCAACATGAAAGCGGTTTTATCCCTGGGCTTTAGAACTGGGAAATCCCCCTAGCATGATAATCCAAATAGACAATTTTGTACATATCTCACTTTATAAAATATAAACCATAACCGAATGGCCATTAGTTTGAAAATGTACTGTGTATCATTTATAAAAGAAATGCCAACGTTTCCAATGAATCACTTGTTTTCACCTTTTACATTTTAGTGCTACTGATCTTCTGCAGCCACTCTGCAGGCACTTCCCCTTCTACATGTACTCCAGAAATGATTATATGGCATTTCTCAGGGACGGTTTTCTAATAGTGACAACAGTGGACCATGCCTGTTTAGCATGTGCTCCTTGTAGCCTCCATAGGAAGCTTGTGTGGTGATATAAGAGTACAACTGGGAACAGAGTGTTGACACCCTAACAGGAAGTGCGTGACCAAGAATCTTCATGGCAGGATTACCAGGTATTATTTTAATGAAACTACAGATTTAAAAATATACATCTACTTTGAAGTGAAAGTAAAGTAGGCAAAATAAAAAATTGCTGAGAGGTAGGGATTAAGCATGTCTGTTCCCCCCCCCCAAGCAATTTGTTTATTTTTTGCATACACAGTATATGGCACATGCGCCGTGCAGAATACACACTGAGCCCACCTCTAAGATGCCGTAAATAGGCCCGATGCTGCATGCGCAGGAGTTAAAACATCAGTACCAGGAGTTAAAACATCAGTACTAGTATCGGTATCGGTGCTGATGACGAGTATTTGGGCGAGTACTCGTATTCGCCCAAATGCTCCGATGCCTAGCCCGACACTTCCTGATTGACCGGGAAGTCGCCTCCATGCTCTCTCATCACTTGTGACGAGAGAGCATGGAGTCAGCTTCCCGGCCAATCAGGAAGCCGGGCAGCGTGCAATGACGCACTGCCCGGCTTCCTGATTGGTCGGAAGCTGACCAATCACGAAGCCAGGCGCCGTGTAATGACGCGGCACCCGGCTTTCTGATTGGTTGGGAAGCTGGCTTCATGCTCCCTCGTCACCACATGACCAGTGAGCAAGGAGCCGGCTTCCTGGCCAACCAGGAAGCCAGGCGCCACGTCATTACACAGCGCCCGGCTTCCTGATTTGCCAGAAAGCCTAGTGACGAGAAGCATGGGGACGGCTTCCCTGCTAATCGGAAAGCCGAGTGGCGAGTCTTTGCACGCTGCCTGGCTTCCCGGCTAATCAGGAAGCCAGGTGGCCAGTCATTACACGCCACCTGACTTCCTGAAATGGGACTTCCAGTACTCGGAGTACCAAAAAATGAAATATCGGTACTCGATACCGAAATAACGGTATCGGGGCATCCCTACTAAAGAGGATGCCTAGGAACTCAGAAGTGATGGCAGTGGAGGTGGGTCAGAGCAGGGGACCTAGGTTCGAACTGGCACTTCTGAAGAAGGGCACACTTGTAAGGTATGTGTGCCCTAATGTGCAAGTACTGTATCATGTGCATGCTTGACACATTAGTGCAAAAACCCCACCCTTCACATAGCTGTTTACTTCCGCTTTAAAAACTTCGACTTTTGGCTTGTTTTGTGTGATTTTTTTTTTTTTTTAACCAGTCTCCGACTTCAAAATAACATCTTGGAGGGCAGTTGATGATGCAGCATGATTCCATTCTCCTCTGCATCTTTACCAAGAAAGATCTTATGCCATGTACAGTGTGCTCAAAGGTCCAGTTGCTCTTCCATGCCTGTGTGCAGCTTTGGACATGCAAGTTAAAATGTGAAATCTATTGCTTTATTTAAAGAAAAAAAACACAGTGTGTTTGGACAACAGTAACTGACAAAGTGTATGCCATTAAAAAGCATTGAAATGTTACCTTTGTAATCTGGCCTTCGGGAAAAAACTTTGAAGACTGTGAAACTTCCTCTTCCGTAATCAGGACCCCATCCAAACGAGTCAGCGTCTTTAATCTTCCAATCGTTGCCATACGCACTGAAGCCGGCTAGGAAAAGACAGTTGTGTCAGCTATTGGGTTCGATCATTAAGACGAAAATGTTTATTACACATAAGCACAGGAGCAACAGCGTGCATTGTACTGGCTCTCAGGGGCGTCGGGAAACTAGGTCATGTATTCAAGATGTCTCATTGAAAACTGCTGAAAGGAAATGCTGCAATTGTTAGCCTCAGCTAAATTATGACATCCTTATTAAAGTCAGGAAAAAGGGCAGCATTTTCTTTTTTTGATGTCCAATCTTGGGTTTTGCACAATAAAGATGTTAGAGAAGCTCGTAATGAAGACGCTAAAAGGATGAAAAATCTAGTGGTGAGCAAACCATCAGTCTCCAAAATACACTAGATATACACTAAATATAATTCTGCAACTGGTATGGGAAAAGGTGAAGCTAAGTAATTGAGGTTTTGTTCAGACAATGATAAACTCTTTATTGTGACACAGAATAACAAAGACACACAAACAGTGTCGGATATTAGCAAGCCCATCAACTGACGGCTTTTCAATCCCGGGTAGAACATAAAATATCGCCAATTATAATCATGTGTGATTTGGTTTTAAGGGCTAAAAATCATTGCAGCATCTAATGTAATGGAGTATTGTTCAGCCAACACTGTGGGAAGTGTAATCACTGAAATGGGCCATGGGATGAATTTTTGATGCTATAAAAGGGGTTAAGGTGATTTTCTGTTCTTCGAACATATCGGTATTATGTAAAGTTTGTGAGCAGTTTTTTTAAAACACTAATGTTTTCTAATAAAACTCTAACATAAAAAATAAACTGTTTAAAATACTTTTGAAAGGATTTCTACTATGAACAAGGAAAAGCTCCTTCGTGTGCTCCCCAGAAAGCTGTTTTCAGGTTTCAGCTTCAGTTTAGAAAACCCACTGTGCTAAAAAGTGTAAACAAGCTACTGCACCCTCAAGTCCTGCTCTATTAAACCAGGCAAGAGAGAAATATATAGGCTGCCTTTGTGGACAGTCTTCAGAAAATGCAAGATGCCTGGCTCTCAAACTGATCCTATAACTTTAATACATTCGGAGTCACTGACCTTGAACAAGTACGCAGATCAGGTGTGTTTAATGTTACCCTGACTTCACTGCCCCTATACTTGTTCCAGGTTACTAAAGCCAGAGAAAGCCAGGATTCTATATATCCTATATTGGGTTCTATTATTAAGATGAAAATGTTTATTACACACAAGCACGGGAGCAACAATGTGCATTGTACTCGCACTAATCGGCGGCAGGAAACTAGGTCATGTATTCAAGATGGCACATTGAAAGCTGCTGAAAGGAAATGCTGCAATTTCAGAAGATTAGCAATGGCCGCCGTTGTATTTTTGGTTTCCTTTAAAACTTCTTATTTGGATAGATAGATAGATAGATAGATAGATAGATAGATAGATAGATAGATAGATAGATAGAAAAGCATTCCATTTGTTGAAGAGGAAGGGGGTATAACGTGATGCTTTTTATTACTTTCTTGATGGAAAGTGTAAAGCCCCAAAAATGGTTAAAGAGAGACCACTTACATAGCCTACATCAACCACTGGTATTTTAGCTTCCAGTTTAGAGTACGCACACAAATTAAATCAGACTAATGATTTTATGACAGTGGTAGAGTGCCAGGGCCTAGACGCAGCTGCAACCGCTGAGACCCGGTTTCACCAGGACTGTGCGGGGTCTCACCAAGGCTGCACATGATTCTCACCAGGGCTGCGTGTGGTTTTCACCAGCGCTGTGCCGGGTCTCACCTTCGCTGCGCAGGCGGCTGGAAGGAGGAGGACATGTTCGGCCGGCGTTGCAAACAGGTGCCGCAAGGTACCTACAAGGCTGTCGTGAGGTCCTCAGCAAGCGCGGAACCGTCCTGTGTTTAAAAATGTAAAGCGCCTATATTGGTGCTTAGTATAGGGGCATTCAAAATGCCCAGTATCAGCACGGATACCGATACTGGTATTGGTGCATTCCTATTGGTAAGTGATACTCAGGGCCGTCCCTGTAATGAGGCATCATCTCATTAAGTCATGTGGGGGGAGAAGGGGGTGTTGTGTCGGCAGATGTGCCTTTGCGGCCAGAGCATCCCAGGTTGCTAAGAGCTCTTAGTAACCTGTGAAACTCTAGTCAGGGTCCCATCCAGCTCACTGACGTCACTGGTTGCCCGGAGTTGAGTGGGATGCTCTGGCTGGCGTCCCGCCCAGCTCCTGGCAACCAGTGACATCAGTAAGTTGGGCGGGATGCCGGACAGAGCTGGAGCCAGAGATACCATGCACCACCAACAAACACCCCTATCCCCCGGTAATGTCAGTCCCCCCCTGCACCGATAACGTGCACCACCAGAACCTCCACTCGGCAACATGCAGCACGATGTAACAGGAAAACAGGAAAACAAGTTTGGAACTACCTATTTAGTCTGACTGACCTTTTGCCAGGGATTGTGGGCAATATGCAGTGACAGAAGGTGCGGAGTTTGCTTCCGTAAAATGTTCATATCTGCCCTGATCCTTGTTAATTGGTTCCAGCTCAAGTCTAAGTGCTTCAGTTTTGCCAGTCCTTTAAATCCTTCCAGAGTCTTCACATTGTTATGACTGGCATCAATATATTCCAGATTCGGCTGCAGTAAAATTGAAGAAGAATTCATCATACTTACGTACACATTAACATTTAAAAGTTTTGTAAATGCAAATACATTCACCTCCGCATAATTTTGTGTCATTTTGACACAAAAGTAAATTTAGAGACATAATGCAATCAATAGTGGTGCCCAGTAGAATGAGACTAAATGAACATATATACAGTATATACAGGGCCGGATTTCCCACATGGCCACTGAGGCCTGGCCTTGGGGCAGCAGGAAGTAAAGGGGCAGCACAGCTCTTCTGGGGGACCTGCGACCATAGCAAGGTAGTTCCGGATGGAGATACTGTGCTCAAACTCTTATATTGGAGGTGACAGGTTCAATAAAGAGAACCTGTTATCGTACAAGGACTTGTTAGCTCCTGTGCAATAGCAATAAAGTTAAGTGAAAAAAAAGAAAAAAGAGTAAAACATTATTAAATAAATAGAAATAAAAAATGGTAAATAATAAGAAATAATAAAATAAAAAAATAGTGATAAAAATGTAAAAAATTATAAAAAAAAGTAAAAGATAATAAGATAAATACAAATTTAAAAAAGTAAACAAAATAAGTAAAAAAAAAAAAAATTTAAAACCAACCCTGCCACCCCCGCTATCTGGTTGCCATTCTCCATTGGGTGGGGGTTTGGTGGGGAGGGGGGCGCATTGAGGAACCTGGCCTTGGGGCAGCAGAGATAGTAAATCCAGCCCCGAGTATATACATTGTATCGTGGTCATGGCACTTTCGGCAATTTGCCAAAAGTGCCATGTTTTAGGTGGCTGAAATTTCAGTTCATTCCTACTATGAACCCCTAAATGTGTTGGATATTTTATGATATAAAATAGTCTGAATAAAAAAATCTGGTGCTTCCCTCTTTGCACACCCAGTCGCTACTTGAGAATAGAGTCAAACTTTGGTCACCACTTCTGGGAGAGCTGCCTAGGAAGAATCATTCTCGCTACAGTGCTTAAGACCTGACTGGCCATACACTTTACAACCATCACAAGGCTTTCGTTACGCGATGGTTGTAAGGTAATTTAAAAAAAACTTACGATCTGCCCATCTTGGACAGGCAGATTGTACTTGCGATCATCGCAAGCCCGCCCTGCTGAGGGGCGGGCTTCCGATGACTGGAATGCTGAACAGGCAGTGTGCGATTGCGGCATTTGTCTTACGAGCAGGCCACAAACCCGCCGAAAATCGTACGATTCCTGGCGGGTTTTCAAACATGCTCGTAAGACAAAAGACGTGCAACCGTACAGTAGAAACGCGCACCTTCCATACACCTGCCGATTATCGCATGATCCCTGGATTTCCCACGATTATCGTACGATAATCGGCAGGTGTATGGGCACCTTTAGAACACCTATTGCTGTAGGAGATCCAGCACTCTTCCCCCCACCACCATCTTTCTTCTAATTCCAGCATTTTATATATAAGCAGCAAGCTTTTCCACCAATAGGCTGCACGTCAAACAACACAATCTACACAGGAATACATTCCGAAGGCAGTTTAACTTACCAAGCATGAAACATCTTCTAGACTTGAAAACTCATTAAAACTTATGATAAGCTTTCGAAGGCCATGTAGTTTTGAAATCTCCTTCAGTTTACTTAAACTGTTACCATGTAAGTTCAAGACCTGTTTAAGGTAAAGTGTTAAAAATATTTTAAACATGATCTTATCATCAAATAATTGAACAAGAGATTCTTTGCTAAAATAATGAACATTAAACAGAATAACAGGAAAAGATATGGGAAAACCAGCATACATATTAAAGCGTAATTATTTATGTTTACAAATTAAATGTTGGTTAATAACATAAAGGGCACCTGTAGACTCCCACAGAGATACCTTTCTTTTTTTTTAAATATTCTTTATTTTCCAGTTTTGCATTAATAAACAACATAATTAAACAAAATAGAAAGGCACATAGGGAAACATGGATAGGGGTTGGCGGGGTGACAAAAACATGGGGACACAATCATTTCCCGGATACATGGCACTGGTATTTAATACTAGTAGTCGCCCATACAAAGGGGAAGACCCTTTGGAGGGTAAGTATGTGGGGGGCTGGGACTGTGACAGGGAGGATCTCAGATTTCGAGTAGTTAATTTGAAAGTTGGAAAGGGTACCGTAGGTGTCTATTGCTCGGAGTATGTTAGGCAGGGATATTAGAGGCTGGGTCACGAACAGGAGGATGTCATCGGCATATGCCGCAAGTTTGTGTTCTGTGCTACCTACGGTAACCCCGTGAATATTTGGGTCAGAGCGGATAGTTCGTAACAGGGGTTCATGTGTGAGGGCGAAAAGTAGGGGCGACAGTGGGCACCCCTGTCTGGTCCCGTTCCGAACCGGGAACGGGCTCAACAGGGCGCCATTCACCCTCACCCGTGCCTCGGGTGTCGTGTAGAGGGAGGAGATCCAAGACAGCAACGCAGCCCCCAGTCCCCGTTGGCGCAGAACCTCCTCCAGAAACACCCAGTCCACCCTGTCAAATGCCTTCTCTGCGTCCAAGGAGAGGAACAGGCAGGAAGGGGGTTGTGACAGGTGGAGCGGAGCAAGGCACACGGACATCCAGCTGACCAGAGGGAATGGACCTAAGGAGAGGCAGGGGATACAAAAGAAACAAAAATAAGATGAACAACAAGGTATGTACAATGGAACAATCAGAACAAGAATCGCTCTCCTAGAGGGCCACTGCACCCAACCGAGGTGGAGATGGCCTCCGGGTATAAGGTCACTTTCGCGCCATCAAAGTCAATATGAGAGCGAGATCGCATGCGGTGCATAATGGACTCTTTCTCTGTATATTTGTGCAGCTTGCAGATAACGTCTCTGGGGTTATCTGGATCTTGGTTAGGGGGGCGGAGTGCTCTGTGGACCCGGTCAATCTCGATGTGCGTTGCTACTGGCCTGTCTAGAATCTGGTTAAAGATGCCCGTCACCGTGGGCAACAGGTCTTGAGGCCTGGTTGCCTCTGGAAGGCCTCGCAGCCGGATGTTAGAGCGACGGCTCCTGTTTTCATAGTCATCCAATTGGTTGTGCAGTGCTGCAATGTTAGAGTCCTGCTGCAGCATTTTGCCCTTCAGGAGGGAGATGGTATGCAGAGCCTCAGCATATTGCGTCTCTAACTTCTCCACTCTCTGGCCCAGCTGTAAGGTGTCGGCCCTGAGGTCAGTAATGGCCTGTTTGGGTGCCCCTTCCACCTGGGAGACAAACGCCTGGAGGTCAGCTTTAGTGGGTAGGGACCGGAGGACAGCCTTCAGGTCCCAGTCTGGGTCCTCTCCGTCAGACGTGGCCGCCTCTGAGTATCCCGATCTCGGGGATCCACCTGGGTCCCTGGGGTCCCTCTCCAGGAGCAGTGAGGGGATCGGGGTGGGACAGGGCATACCTGAAGGCGAGTCGGCAGCATGTGAACCGCGGGCGCCATCTTGGCTGCGGCCCGGTCGCATGTCCGCCGATCGCAGAGAAAGTTATCCAGCGATCCCCTCGGCTGGGGTCTTCCCAGAAGCCTTCCGTCCCCCCATCAAGCTTCTTGGGCTGCCGGTAGGCTAAATCGGAGTCGGATGGGTGCGGATGCAGAGGGTCCGGACGGAGCTCGGCTTAGGTGCGACTCTCCGCCATCACGTCCAGGCCACGCCCCCAGAGATACCTTTCTTAATGCATTGCGGCACTTCCCATTTTTACTCTTACAATTCACTTCAGATATTCTCTGTAATGAGTGACTAAGGGTGTGATATACACTATCCACTGCAACCTGTGGTTAAATACTGAATGATTTATTGGGTGTGTTAAGTACAAATTGAAGAAGCTTTCCACTTTCAGCTAGAACATGAAAAACCTATATGCAGGAGCCTCCCCCTCTTCTGATTGCCAGGGATTCCACTGGCAATACCCTGCTTGTCAGCCTCTGTAAGAAACCACACTCTGGCACTTGGAGCTGCTTGGACTGTGCTTTGCAGTCCTGCTTTGGTAGTTAACAACCAAAGAGCTTCTAAATTAGGTTGCACCATGGTGGAAAAAGATGAGCAATTACAGCCTTGATACAACCTCAGAGCTTCCTATGGACCCATTTCATGTAATTTGTTTAGGGCAGAAATTAGAACTCTTACTGTATTCTATACATAATTAGTCTCACTGACTACGGGTTGTCTTTTACAGACCACGTGACCCAGTCCCAGGGTTTCTTGGGACACATCCCCTCAGAAGAACAGCTCCAAAGTAGTATCCGGTGCCCATAAGCACTGCAGTACGGCAAGAACGGTTTCCACACACACCTGTGTGGTTTCAGCTACTACACACCTCATGTGTGTAGCAGCCTCCCTGGCTGCCTCCATGTGGCTCTACCACTTACACCACCCGGCTTGCCTCTCATGGCTACAGCACTACACGCCAATCAGCTTGACTCCTGCGTGCCTCTCACACACACCACCTCCAAACACCTACTCCCTGAACTCTGGTCCAGTCATTAAAAGGGCTTTCTCCAGCCACCTGATCTGCTTTGTCCAGTTATTAGCAACACCTGGACCCAGGATTGGTAGTTTCATCCCACCCAAGACTCTTAGTAAATCCCTAGGGTCCCAGATCCCAGCTATACTCCAGAAAACATGGAAAGAACTGAAAAGCCAGCTCTTTCCCTGTAAAAAATACTTTCATTCTGGAACCTCTCAGCCTCACCAACTGAAAGTCCTGGGTGACAATGCTGCCAAATTACAATGCCACGCACTACCACAAGAGCTAGCCGCAACATAAGAGCAATTTTGCAGTTATTACAGATTGATTCAACCAAGACACAACCATGGCCTGTTCAGAGCAATAACCAGAAAACATAATCATATTTTTTTAGCAGGGCATATAAACACATTTCTAAGCTTGGGAAGGGAGGCTAGAATGTAAATACTACAAATGTACAGGGTTGTGTCATCAAACAAGGATAGATTCCAGAGTCCCCTTTTTTTTTTCTTTTTTTTTACAAAACAACCAAAGTGAAGGCTTTGATTAGTGATTGTGTTTATTGGTTTATTGAGCCAAATGTCTCAAATACACCTTTTATTTTTTATATAGGTTTTCTTCTCCCTTAATGTTCTGGTGACAACCCAGACCTGTATGATGGTATCTATGATGAATGGTAGCCCAACACTTAAGATTTTCAATACTTACTGATATTTGACTGTATGTACTGGCTTTTGCTATGGAAAGGATAGTACTTTCATCCAAACTAATTATTTTGGGCCTAGGTTTGACAACTGGCTCCATAGAAAGAATATCTTCATCCTCTTTCATTTCAGCTGATGCATTTTCTGAGTCACCACTTTGAAAATTAGAAGCTGGGTCCTCTGTCTGGTAAGAAATTTAAAAAAATTGTCTTAACATACCTAGACAATACATCTGGAAAATACTTGATCCGAAGGATGTTTCAGTGCTGGGAGTAGTTTGGCATGGTAAGCAAAACAAATGGCAAACGCACTCAAACGCCCTGTGCTCCAAGATGGAGACTCTCATCGTTTAGAGTTAGGACCGCACTATATAGAGGTGCCTTGGCGCGGCTGTGCGGCTTTCACATTTTCTGCAGAAGACGTGTATCTAAACCTCTGTTTTTAACCTTAGCGGGCGAGACAAGATTTTTTGCATGCTGGCTGGCGAGTGTGCTGGGAAACTTTTTGCCATTACTCTTTGGCAAGATAAGACGCGTTATTGAGGACCCACAGCAACACTGTACATTAGGGGATTGATTTACTAAAAGAGTAATGCATGTTCACTCCAATCAGGTTCAAATTGAAAAGGAAACAGGAATCTTTCAGTACAGCTTCCCAGTGGCGTCACAAGGGGGGTGCGGCCCGCACATGGGTGCCACAATTGGAGGGGTGTCACCTTATGAAAAGTCGGGCACTCGGTCACAGACCGAGAGCCCGACAGTGTCAGGAGAGAGGAGGGGACCCGGCAGCATGCCTCCTCCAGCCAGGTGAACGTCCCCTCCTCTCTCTGCTGGCGTCCATCAATTAGATGGCCGCTGGCAGGCGTCAATAAGACGACCGTGCATGCGCGATGACGTCATCGTGCGTGTGCGGCAATGTCATGCGCAATGACGTCACAACGGGGTGTCACCCGGTCTCCGCTTCGGGTGTCACCCAGCCTTGGGACACCCCTGCAGCTTCCCCACATTTACAAAGCAAATTGAAAACTCTCTTTCAAAGTGAACATGCTCTACTCCTTTAATAAATTAAGTTTTCTGATACTGATGCCATTACAACCAAGGTCTGGTAATAAGAGAAACAGAAGTTCTGCCCAGCATGAGAACAGATACAGATTTAAAAGGAAGAGCAGCAAAGAGAAGGGAAACAACCATAGATTACAGTAAGGCACACATTACAGTATTGTTTTATGTTAAAAAATCTGAGGGTTTAATGTCACTTTAAGCAAACAATTTGTATAAAATTAAAATACGTATGTAGTACCTGCATCACCAAGATGGCCGCCGGCAGGCATCAATCAGATGGTCGCGCATATGCGAGGTGACGTCACGCGCAATGAGGACACAGCGGGGTGTCACCCGGTCTAGAGACCGGGTGATACCCGACCTCGGGATGCCCCTGACATGCACTGCTCAAGCCTCAGACTGGAATTTTAGGATCGGTGCTTACATAGCTGCTTACATTTCAATAAAAAACGGAAAGATGGGGGTGTTCTAAAACTTTTGACCGGTAGTGTATATAACGCACCTAAACAGGTTTTTTTCTTCTTGGAAAAAGTTAAGTTACACTTTAACTGTGTCAGCACATCACTGCCTCGTCAATAATACATCAAGAAAACATTGTAATCATGCAGAGGAGTATTGAGAACATTGTACCAGAGGAATATATTCAAACTCAACGATGTACTCTGGCAGTATGAGCTCAGGATCAAACACAAACCACTCACGCCGGCGTAGACTGCAGTCACAGTTCCCATGCTCCTTGGAAGAACATGCTTCTGCAAGAAGAAAAAAGTGTCAACATTTCCTGTATGTCAGAATAATTTAAATGTGCTTTTTACATTTTTTTTTTTGCCCTGACATACACTTTACTTTGCTCCCACTATGAGACGATAGATTTTGACCTCTATAATTAAGCCGTGAAGGTGAAACGTGTGAGAGGTTTGGCGTGCATGGAGGGACATTGTGTATAGTGTGTTATGGATATTTACAATAAATGCCTATGATTCGAGGAAATCTGTGGAGCGCGATCATTTGATCCTTCTCTATGTATCTCTGGCTGCAGTGAGCCAGTTAGACCTGCACCAGGAACTGTATCAGTTTGCTCAGAGTACGCAGAAGGAGCCATAGAGTGTAGCACAAGACTAGGCCTCTAACATCTTCATCATCCGACACTTCTGGGAATGTTGTATGACTGGTCCCCCTATGTGCACTGTGGTTCCTCCCTCAATACCATTGACCAATACAGTATATAGTAGTGATGTAGGAGCCAGAGGAAGGAGCCATAGAGTGTAGCACAGGACTAGGCCTCTGACATCTTCATCATCCGACACTTCTGGGAATGTTGTATGCCTGGTCCCCCTATGTGCACTGTAGTTGCTTCCCCTATACCATACATCAATACAGTATATAGTAGTGATGTAGGAGCCAGAGGAAGGAGCCATAGAGTGTAGCACAGGACTAGGCCTCTGACATCTTCATCATCCGACACTTCTGGGAATGTTGTATGCTTGGTCCCCCTATGTGCACTGTGGTTGCTTCCTCTATACCATTCATCAATACAGTATATAGTAGTGATGTAGGGGCCAGTGGAAGGAGCCATAGAGTGTAGCACAGGACTATGCCTATGACACACCCAGAACACAACTCTCTCTGGGTGATTATCTGATCGAATAAGCTTGTGAATATAGTTATTTTTACATAATATGACTATAACATGGAATGGAACATACCATCATCTGAAGGATATACATGGTCCCTCTTAAATTTCAATGGCCTGAAGACAGAATTAGCATTAGGATTTATCTGAAGATGTTCTTTGGCTCTAAGACTACGGCCCAGGAAGACTTTTACAATGATTAGTTTACCTAAGGATACATACAAAAAACACACAACAATAAAATATTATGAAATAGAAAAATATACAGTATTATATTAGTCATTTTTTTGGGGGGAGATACAGCACCAAACACATGGTTATGGTTGTAATGTGTAACTTATCTCCTGTAGGCTGCTGCTTCTTGTAAAAGTTCTCTAGTAATATTCTCCCACAATGCATTGGGTATTGTGAATGGGTGGTGGAGATCCTTCCACTCATCCACTCCTCCTCCATTCACAAAAAGGTGTTGTATTTGGGAAGCATAATAGTTTGAGCTCTCTGAATGGAGGAGATGATATAAAGGGGAGGGCATTTGGCAAAACTCTTCACACTACCAGGGGCTGCTGTTAACCCATACAGCACTGGAGGATAGCCACTCAGGTCAATATCTGGCAGCTATGATGGTAGAATGAAGGGAGCATTTTTACAAGAGCAGCGGAAACTAATACGTTTTGTCCTGTAACACAAACAAAATATTGTCTCTCTTGAGTGAAAACAGACCATTTTGGGATTGCAATAAAGAGTGTGCATGTCACCAACTCACAGGGCGGTGGAAAGGATGAGAGTTTATGGGCAAATTGCAGGAATTGGCAAACACAGGAAAACAACGCCTGTGCACACAACCATTAACATGAAGTAAGGATATAAACTTGGCAACTGCAGCAGAAATGTAGTCTTATGTTGTGTTCCACTTATCTAGTTCTACTCAAAAAAACATCAAAGAGGATTCAGAAAGATGTGAAAACTGGAGAAGACGAATTTTACTCCTGTTGTCTGTATTATACTTTCTGCACCAGAGAGCATCCAGCTGGTATTAGCAGAGGATCCTAAGTGGCCAAGGGCAGAGTAAGGGCCACCTCAGACATAGTGCCCTGAATGACGTTGAAGCATAGACAATTACATATAATTCCCTCCAGGATTGATTACCGTTAACTAATGAAGATAAGTATTTACTTATTTCATTCTTTTATATATTTCAGTTATAGTCTGCATTGCTCTACAAAGCAAACTGATTGTTCAAATGATTTTCTGCATTCAAAGGAGCTTACAATCTATTATGTCTACCATAGCCATATGAACTTGGGAAGCCAGTTAGCTATGTAACTATTAAGTGTTTGTTCACCCAACATCTTTTTTATTTGAAAATGTTTAGATATTGTAAGATGAGGATTTGTTTTGATGTATAGTGTGGCAGTGCATGGCAATGCCACGGTGTAGTATGGCAACTCCTTCCAGGTTTTCCAGACTATAGTGGGATGGGATCTCCAGTCCTGGGGCCAGGTGTTGCCAGTGGCCAGGTTGGGCTGAACAGGTGGCTGAGAGCAGCCTTATTAGGAAGCCAGCCCAGTGCTTTAGGGGAGAGTTGTGGGTGTGCAGGAGGCACACGACGACAGGCAGACTCTGCTGCGTGTGCACAAGGGACAAGCCGGAGGAGCTGGAGAGGTCCAGAGGGTTGGTGACCCTGAGATACCTGTCGGGGAGACAGAGAGGGACAGTGACCATCGATGGTGAATACCAAAAGTCTTGGAGCTGAGGAAAGCTGCTGAGGACGGTATATCCAGGGAAAGTCCTGGGACTATAACACTGGGAGTGTATGGGACAGCCAGATGTCGGTGAGACCAAAACATGATGTGTTAATGAGAGTCCAATGAACTGTTATGCTTCGTTTATGCTGAAGAAAATCAAGTTGGTTTTATGAAGTTCATTGACTGTTCGCCTTTTGAATGAATAAAGACTGTCCTTTTTATGTTAGTCAGCTTCAGGAGTGGTCACTTAGCGCTTACCATTGTGCTATATTCCCCAAACTATCACAATAGTTATTGTAAGATGAGGATTTGTATTGCTGTATAGATATTATAAGATGAGGATTTGTATTGATGTATAGATATTGTAAGATGAGGATTTGTATTATGTATAGATATTGTAAGATGAGGATTTGTATTGCTGTATAGATATTGTAAGATGAGAATTTTAGTTTCTTCTCTTTTCTGTCTTCATACTCCTCACTTTTTTCCTTTCATTTCTTCACATCTGTCGTTCATTCATCTCTCTTGCTCCCAATACCTTTCCTCGCTTGTTCTTTTATCCCATCTCTTGCTGTTCCTTCTCTTCACTCATGTTCTGTGACTTTACATAGTTTACCTTCTGTTTTTGTACTTTCATATATTGTTTCCTATGATGGAGATGATGGAGATGATATTGTTTCAATGGCCCTTTCTCCATGTTTTTCTACTTGTTGACCTTGAATGAGATGCATTCTTTTCTTCTAATACTCCTTTCATCAACTGATCCCATGTCATTGCGATGTGTGCAGACTACGGATCAGAAATATGGCTTTGGTCATTCACTTAAAATAGTTTTAAATTGTATTCGGTGAGCCTTTTATTTGATTTCACGCACTGTTCTTGTGTCAAGTTTTGTATTACTTCTGTATGTTTTCTACAGTATGTTTCAATAAGACGTTTTAAAGTTGAAAAAAAAAAATAGATTTAACATGACATGAGCGAAGTATGGGGCCTACACTTCCATACCTTCTTTAAAAATGCGAGTTGCCTGGCTGTGTCTGACTTTAATTTAAGTGATTTCGAGTCACAGACCAGGAAAAAGCATGCTGTAAATGTGTGTCAGAAAAGAGTCCAAACTCCTTATTTCTATATGACTCAGGAAGGGGGAATTTATCGTAACTGGAGCAGACAAAATCTGGATCACTTGCCCATAGTAATTAATCAGCTTCTCTCTTCAGTCTACTTAGTTCAGATTTGAAAATGAAGGATAGAAGCTGATTGGTTGTCATGCATATCTGCTCTACTTTTGATAAATTCCCCCCATTGAGTACCGAAGCCAAGGCATGCGCAAGAAAGCCAAGTGTCTAGCATTCTCTTAACAGTGGTGAGCCATGACAACCTCCAACATTTTCCCATGACAATTTTCCTTTAATGATGTATGAATAATTACAAAGCTGCATTCATTTGGGCCTTTTTATCTGCCTGGAGTTCAGCTTCAAATCAAATCCATTGTATCATTACGTGTATGGCCGACATAAGAAACTACAGCTTCTGTGTTCAGCCAACCAGACAGAGGAAAGCATATTGCCGTTGATCACACCACAGTAATTATTTCATAAAATTTTAGTGTCACTGTAATGCTACAGGCAATTAAGAAATGGAAAAATTGGGAATGACAGCAAGTATCCCATTCAAAGGTAAGATATAAACATGTTATTTTATCGGGTAAAATAAGCTCACTGAACCATGTCCTTGTGTGGAAATACCTAACACATTCCGCCATGATTCCCAAAGCGGTTCTATAGAATGTGGTACATTCAATGCTTGTTATTCTAAATTGCTACAAACATAAAACTGGACCCTGACTGTCATCTGTAATTTATTATATCGTCTACAGTGCACTGTAATTAGGTTACCGCGTTTAAAATGCTCGGGATCATAATTCGTCTCCAAGGTTGTTGCTTGCTCTGATGTGAAAGTCTCACAAAATCCCAAACTGTTGGAAAGAAGAATGGAGCCGCCTTGTTCTTGTCCATGCAGCTGTAAATAACACAACATGACGTGTTAAGGACCAAGACAAATGTGAACAAAGCAAACAAGCTTAAAGAGTAACTCCACTTTGGTTAAAAAGATCACAGAAACTATGTGCAATGACAACAAGAGCAAATTTGTAATATCACGTTATTAAAGTGTATGTCCAGCAAAAACTTTGTATTCTTAAAGGATAAGTTCACCTGTTGCAAAAATTAAAGAAATGCATAATTAGTCATATGTTAAAGAATATGCATTTCTTTAATATTTGCATTCAAGCCTGGAAAGCATTGCAATTGTGATCACTCGATCACAACTGCAAAGCTCAGGGTTCTGCACATTTTCACACTGGCAGAGCTCGTACAGAGGTACGGAGTTTCAGTTAGGAGAGATGGGAGATATACATTATATTGCCAAAAGTATTGGGACACCCCTCCAAATCATTGGATTCAGGTGTTCTGTGGAATTTCCTTGCTACTAAATATTCCATTGTCACCTGTTAGTGGTATTATAACAATGTCGAAGCAACTGGGAACAACAGCAACTCAGCCACGAAGTGGTAGGCCACGTAAAATGACAGAACCAGGTCAGCGCATGCTGAAGCGCACAGGGCGCAGAAGTCGCCAACTGTCTGCAGAGTCAATAACTACATACCTCCAAACTTCGTGTGGCCCTCAGATTGTCACAACAACAGTGCGTAGAGAGCTTCATGGAATGGGTTTCCATGGCCGAGCAGCTGCACCCAAGCCTTACATCACCAAGTGCAATGCAAAGCGTCAGATGCAGTGGTGTAAAGCACGACGCCACTGGACTCTAGAGAAGTGGAGACGTGTTCTCTGGAGTGACTAATCACGTTTGTCTGATTGCATTGTGCCAAGTGTAAAGTTTGGTGATGGGGGGATTATGGTTTGGGGTTGTTTTTCAGGGGTTGGGCTTGGCCCCTTAGTTCCAGTGAAGGGAACTCTTAAGGCATCAGCATATGAAGACATTTTTGACAATTTCATGCTCCCAACTTTGTGGGAACAGTTTGGGGAATGGCCCCTTCCTGTTCCAACATGACTGCGCACCAGTACACAAAGCAAGGTCCATAAAGACATGGATGAGTGAGTTTGGGGTGGAGGAACTTGACTGGCCTGCACAGAGTCCTGACCTCAACCCGATAGAACACCTTTGGGATGAATTAGAGCGGAGACTGTGAGCCCGGCCTTCTCGTCCAACATCAGTACCTGATCTCACAAATGTGCTTCTGGAAGAATGGTCAAACATTCCCATAGACACACCCCTAAACCTTGTGGACGCCTTCCCAGAACAGTTGAAGCTGTTATAGCTGCAAAGGGCAGGCCAACTCAATATTGAACCCTACGCACTAAGACTGGGATGCCATTAGAGTTCATTTACGAGTAAAGGCAGGCGCCCCAATACTTTTGGCAATATGGTGTATATATACAGTATACTGTGTGTGTGTGTGTGTATATATATATATATATGTGATCTGGATTAAATATTGAAAATATAAGAGTTTATTAGGACTTCAATCAATTGGGAAATACCTTTATGGGGGACATCCTATGTTCATCTCACACAGTTCTATTTATTGCAAAACCAAACTATACCTTTACCGTTTTATTGACATTAAAGCCATCCTCAAGAATGTGCAAAAGATCCTTCTTCTCAAAACTAGGCTCAAATGTGTAAAAAAGATATTCCAGCATCTTCTTGTAGTTTCTAAGAAACAGAAAATAGAAAGGAACACTGAAATCCTGACAGTGCAGTCAATGGCATTACTTGTCTGACATCTTCAGTCCTGTAATTTACAGAAATAAACTTTTTGACTGTTTCAGAGTTCCTGAATTCCTGTGTCCCTAAATAGATAATATTTTTTTGATCCTGCCAGAAATCCAGTCAGCTTCTAATGTCTTGTAGGGACCTGCCCATGCTGCCTCCACTCCGCTGAAATACAAAGCAGTGGATTTGGCCCAAAGTTCTTCTCTGCTTGACTACAGAAAACATTCAAGGAAATAAAGGAAAGGGGGAGGTGTTCAGCAGTCTAGCAGGGGAGAGCTCCCAAGGCTGAAAACACTGCCTGGCATTTCAGTTCAGCTCACCACAGGTAGTGATATTAGCTGCTGGTGCCCCAACAATCAAATGCTGTCTGTAATGTAGATTTCCTGATCCCCTGTTCTGCTCTGTGGTTCATCCTGCCAACCTCCGTTTTCCTACTGTTTCCTGTAGTGACACAGAGGTCAGTGGGAAGAACCACTGAGTGTAGTAGGTAACTAGGAGATTTACACTCCCACAGGTGTCAGATTCTGAAGAGTCTGACAGCAATTTTCTCTTATATTGGTAGTTTGGATTAGCTAGAGTCGCTTTAACAACAGGCTTTTATCAACAGGACGTAAGGAGAAACTAGAAAACATTGCAGGAGGAACCTAAAGCTCCACCTGCTGATAGCATACAAGAGTATATAATAATAATAATAATAGTAAGTGATATCTCTTACCCACGAAAAGCAAAATATATGTATTGGTACACATTATTAACTTTTTTTTTTACAAAACTACAATGAAATCCCTTTAAACAATAAGCTTCAAATGTAAAAGACACAAAATGTATAATAGATTAAACAAGAAAGTTTTATTTTTTAACCATTTAAAAAATGAGTTTGTGGGGGGGGGAAAAAAACAAAAACAAAATTGTACAAACAGCTGATGACAGCTGCTGTCCAGAAGTGTCCAAACTAACAGGGTTATTCACAAGAGGGTGAAGAGTTTGGAGAAGGCAGGAGAAGTGAACAATCTAAGACAACATAGCTGATTTGGAAAAATTCTCCAATTCAGCTCACTTTCCAGTTCATCTATGTTGTCCTAGATTGTTCACTCCTCCTGCCTTCTCCAAACTCTTCACCCTCTTGTGAATAACCCTATAAGCGTTTGATGTGTGTGTGTGTGTGTATATATATATATATGTACCGTACTTGTATCACTTTGTGATATTAATACAGCTGCTAGTGATTTCAGTGTGTTATTTTAGTGCAGACATTTATATACACATTACTTAAAAAATTATTTGCATTGATGAAAGGAACGTACTCATTGGCAGTGCTGTCTTCACCATCCAGATAGTCCTGCACTCTGTCCTCAAACTTGGATCGAAGGATTCTGTTGTGTACTCTGACTATTCGGTTTATTTTTACTCCAGAGATTCCAAATGTTTTAAAATTTAAGGCACAGAAACGGGATAAAATTAAGTCATAGCATGATTTGAACCTGGTGCATACAGAAAACAAAGCAATTTTACAAATTAACAAGGCTGGAAACAGAGCATTCTGAATACAAAATTAGTAAAATGTCATACAGCTACCTTCTAAAAAGAAATTATATTTTACTTAAAGCTCAACTCCAGGGTAACAATATTCCCCCAGGCAGGACAAAAAAGTGATTAATTAAAAATTCAAAGCTAAAAAAAAAAAGCTCTGACTAAAATATTCACATTACATCCAGAGGTGCACCCCACAGTCTTTTCTTCATGACAAGATGTCCTCAGCCCTCTCGGTCTATTGATTGATACGCGGCTCACCCAATCCAAATGAATGAGCTAAGGCTCGGTTCACACCTAGGCGTATTACGTATGCGCGACCGTCACGCGTTTTTTTTTACCGCGATTCAAAAAAACCGCGCGACAGTCGCGCGTTTCCGAAGGCTACTAGGCTGTATCCCAATGGAAAACGCCCTCCAAAACGGCCCAAAGAAGTACATGTACTTGTTTGGGCGTCAGCCGTTTTGTAGCGCGTTCAGACGGGCGGAAATACGGAAAAGGTGTGAACCATACCCATAGAAAACAATGGGATTTTCATGGTTGCACGTTTTGTAGAGCGTTCATAGAGCGTTGAACGCCTGACAAAACGGAAAGGTGTGAACGGGGCCTAAGACTGTGAATACAGGGTGCACTACCAGTGCTGATATCACCTCAGTGCCACTCTCTGCATCATCCTGATCCAACAACTGCCTAGAAGAGGCTGAAAAGGAAGAGCATGCAGCGTGTCACATGACCATCCAAAAGACATGTAGAGAAAAAATTAAAAGAGCAAAAAATATTTCTGGTGGGGATCTTAAAAGGGATGAGGGAGCCAACCTGGTCTTTATAGAGTTTCTGTGACCTAAATAAAAGATTATTATAAGCTGGTTTTATATTTTGCTTATTTGTCAGCTTACAATAAAAAATATCTGAGCAGAGTGTTAAACCAATATAGCAACCAAAGCCGTATATGGCCTATATATAGTGGAAACATTTTTTAAGGTAGGCAAATCAATTATACCTACATCTTGCGTGACATACATACTTGGTTATGTGTATTAGAGGGATGCCTATTGTTCTCTACAGTCTATGTGCGCTTGATGGATGTCCATAGTTATCAACAGTGCATGTGTAATAGATGAATGTCAATAGTTCTCTACAGCGTATGTTCACTAGATGGATGCCCATTGTTCTCTACAATCTATGCACATTAGATGGATGTCCATCGTTCACTACACCATATGCGCACTGGATTGATGCCCACTGGCAGGGCTGGATTTACTCTCTCTGCTGCCCCAATACCAGGCTCCTTAATGCGCCCCACTGTATGCAGGCTGCATACAAGTGATCTCGGCGACATCGCCGAGATTACTTGTACAAAACAAGCGGCGGCTTCCAGGCTGTACATTTAGCCCTGCATGCCCAAAGCAGGGCTAAATGTAGAAAACAACTACTCGCCTGGCACCCGGAACTGCATGTCCCGGGCGTCGGGAGATAGAAATTCCGCACCCCTGTTGCCCCTCTACTCCCTGCGGCCCCAAGGCCGGGCCTCGGTTGGCCTTGTGGGAAATCCGGCCCTGCCCACTGGATAGATTTTCTATAATCTATGTGTACATGAATGTCCATAGTTCTCTACAGCCCACGCATGCTAGATGGATCTCCATTGTTCTTTACAGTGTATGTGTATAAGATGGATGTCCATTATTCTTTACAGTGTATGTGTACAAGATGGATGTCCATTGTTCTCTACAGTGTATGTGTACTGAATGGATGTCTAACATTCTTGACAGCGCATGTGCAATAAATTAAAGCCCATTGTTCTTTAAAGCGTACATGCAATGATTGGATGTCCATAGTTGTCTAAACCCTATGTACACTAAGATGGAACGTGTAACACATCTTGCTGATCATTTGAAGAAATGTTTTCAATGAATACTTGTTTTACCCTCTATTTACTTGATGAAGTAAACAGTTAGATAATGTGCAGTAGCAGATGAGGTCATAGTGTGGTTCCATTCTCCATTGTGGGGATTTGATATCGAAAAGTATATTGATTGCCTGCTTCTCATTACATGACCTAACTACATATTCATTCATAAACAGCTAAGTCTTTTAAACTTTCCCTGTATGAACAGCATGACTTTAAACCTACGCAAAGCATCATTATGTCAAATGCAAGAGATATTATGGTAATTATCTCCAGTACTTAATAAATGCTGTCATGAACTGAGCTTACCATGTATCTGATGGAGCACCTTCTTCAAAGCGAACATTCCCTACGGTTTCAAGCTCTGTCTGTAAGAACTGGACCAAGAGATCAAAGCTCTCTTTTGTCCTTGCAACTTCTTTCTCATGAAAACCGTCTATGCTGATAAAATCAACAGAAAAGAAGAGAGACATGAACAGATTAACATTATCTCTTCAACTTTCAGAACCACACAATTTAAAAGCATTGTGTGAGTAGAAAATATGTGAAGATTTACAAAATGCATAAAGCAAACAGCAAATTTTTAAACAGACTCGCCACTGAATGACAAGTTTGTTTCTTATGAGATATCAGTTTTGGGAGAACTCAGCCTTAAAAAGCCAACACTAATATTTCACCAACACTAATATTTATATATTTTTTAAATATTTCTTGGAGCCTTGCCGAGGCGATTTTCCAAAAGCAGTGCATGTCTGCACACAAAATCTTAATGTGTCAGTCTTTCGCAGCTGCACTCCCCAATTACTTGTTTATGTTCAATAATGGGAAGTCAAGACCGGTTTCAGACCAATTTCAGGTTCACCCCCTCTTTCCCATTCCCCCACACCACCTTAGGAGCAACCCCAACCAACTTTATTTTTTAAACTTTTCTTTTGTACAGAAACATCTTGTTTTTCTTAGTCACAGATCTTCTTTGTCCCATGGTGAGTGGATCCTGAATGCTGCAGAAAACAGCACCATGTAATGACATGGCATTCTCTGCAACATCCTCCTGTAAACCCAGGAGGGCTTGATGAAACGCCCTACCACGGAGCAGGTCTGTGACACCCTGGATCACACGAAGTGGGATGAATGATACTGGGCATCATTCAAACAGGAAAAGTACCAGCGCTGGACCAAAAAGCAGTAATACTATGAGGGACAGTACCAGAGAGAAATGTTGATAGAATGTGCAGAGGCATATGCACACATACAGTATACAGTATGTTCAAAGATACAGCACCCAATGTAGTTTAGAAATCACGTATGGCTCTTTGGCTGTAGATACCTAGAAGCTTAACATACTCATCCATCTTTGATGTCCAGAAGTGGATTCTCTCTTTCAAGGCACATAGCTTTTGGGTCAGATTCTTCTCCATGTCCAATTCTGCTGTACTATTGTCCACTTTTGTCCATGAATCAGATTTTTCCAGATCTCCATGGCAATGAAGTTTTTCAGGAGATTTTGAAATGTTTGGGAGACTTTCTGGTGACTGCAGCTTTGATAGGTCCCATTCTAACTAAAACAAATAGGACATGCTGAACTATTTAAGAATGAAAACATATGAAAACCTGTGAGGGAATCATAAATATGTAGGTACTCTAAATATAAAATAAATTATCCTTATTATAGCAAATATAAAAATATTCCTATTGCATGTTATGGCCATAGCAACCCTTTCTCTGTCACCATCTAGGAACTCACTGCACTAAGAGGGTCTTGAATAAGGGCCAGGACACTGACACGGAGGGTGAAGAGTTTGGAGTGAAGTGAACAATCTAGGACAAAATAGCTGCTTTGGAAAAAGTCTCCAATTCAGCTCACTTTCCAAATCAGCTATGTTGTCCTAGATTGTTCACTTCTCCTGCCTTTTCCAAACTCTTCATCCTTTTGTGAAGAACCCTGTGAGTGTGGTCCTACACACTAAAAGAGTGGGCCCTATTGCATTCAGAAAAGGGGGCCTATGGTGGCTTAAGTGACTGATATGGAGGTCCCCCTTCCTCAGAAAGCAGTATGTGAGGGGAGATGGGACAGCAAAGCCCTCACTTGGTTCCACTTGCAATTGTTGCTTGTTTCTAAAGAATGACAACCAGAGGGCAAGGTACTAGTTACTACAAGGTACTAGTACTAGTTACCAGTATTGCCTGCAGGCTCAATGCAGCCTTATTGTTTCTTTATTACTGGCTTACCATGCCTTTTAGGACATTGCTTCCTCATATCAGAGCTGCCCCCTGATGATTGGTGATCTGATGAAAAGCGGGAAAATGGCCACCAGGCGGAGGAAACACACATCCACAGAATGATTGAAGCAGAAAGATGCTGAACTGCAGCTCCTAAGATACCGCTTTCTCTCCAGCAAGAACAGTTAGCAACACACCAAATCTCACTCCAAATCTCGTGAGATTAGCAGTTAGCAATAACAATGCCTTAGATCTCACACTGCCTCATACAGCTAAAGAATATAGATACAGGTGTGCAAAGCCAAAGTCACATTTCACTAAGTGCACTGCTAATTTTTCATGGTACTGCTTAGGTACAATTAACATTCCTTGATGTTTCCTTAAATACTGTGCATTTTTACATAAAGGCAAGGGCATCCTTCATATGGCTATCAATCTAATCATGTGCTCTTTCATTCTTGCAGAATTGGACAATGAGGACTTGACTGAATTCCTACACATCCAGAGCAGAGACACAATGCTCTTTCCAATTCCTATCAGTGCCAGTCAAGGTCCTCATTGCCAGACTTGGCTAGGAAGACAGAGCACTTTTTCAAAAACATATAAAACCAAGGAATTTTTCCATCATAATTATACAATACTGTATTCCTTGTAACTTTGTCTCCAATACTTACACTTTTCACCTGGAAGAGAAGTAGGCACTTTCTGTTCCGTGGCAGTGGTTCCAATTTGCACTTCTGCTCTTTTAGCATGTCTAAATCTTCCCTTAGCTGTCTGTTGATAGTCTTTACTCTCATGTTGTAGTACATTATCTTTTTCATCACTGTAGACTTTAAAATAAAGAAATAAATAAATATTTTGAGATATATAGAAATATAAAGCAAATGGAATGTAGTAGTAGATATGTGACTTTATAGAATGATCATGTCTTGAAACCAAATTTAACACATTGATAAAAACAAAGGGGTGGCAATGTATCTGTTCTGCTCCCATACTATGGAATCCAGTACTGTGGACATTAAATGCATTTATTAAAGCTATACTACATGCAACAGCTAAATACTCATAATGGAGTTGTTTTATCTGCCAAAGGAAACAACCTGGTCACCAAGCTATGTGTGGAGGAGAAAGGGAGGAGGGAGAAGGGAGGAGACATGGAGGAGCCTCCTTGCCTCACTTGTTCGTCACTGGTGAGCCATCAAGATCAATGTCCTCAGCGTTTTTTTTTTTCTTTTTATTGATTGGACAGCTTGGACCAATCAATAAAAATGGGAAAGCCCGCTGCTGTGTAATCTAACTTAGCTGTCAAAAGCCAGATGCAGCGCTGCCTGTCATTGCTCTCCAACTATGACAGGTTACTAAGTGGGGAGGGAGAGCTGCCTGTTAATGACAGGCAGTGCTGCATCCGGCTTTTGACTGCTCTGAATGGAGAAAAAGCTGCCAGCTTCAGACTTGAAGCCGACAGCTTTTTCCTCCATGATACTAGGTAAGGCTCTGCCTCACCTGCCTCCCCTGCTGCACCTCCCTGGTCTATATACACATTACTCACCTCTGCTAAATCCTTGATAGATTTTTGGGACACATTGTATGTGTCAAGTCTCTGAAGCTGTGGTATATGGTATAATACATGGGTAGAGTAATTGCAGAAAAGGCACACAGGATTAGGAGTGTATTGTGGATCCTTCAGGCCTAAATCCTTGAGGTTTTTCAGTCGCGCTAAATTTGTGAGTTCCTAAAAAAATAATGAGAAGTAAATAGAATATTCACAAACATAGCAATAGAGTATTTAATCTTTGATAAAGAAGATAAAGTGAAAGTCATCTGATAAATTATTCTGACAATAACTGAATGATGTTTATAGTGGTAATCACTAGGCAAGTAAAGGCCAAAACGCTGATTGGCTGACATCAGTTACTGCATACAACTACTGCAAAGACTGAACCGAAACCTCTGATTACTGAATTGTATTACATTTCATATCGGTTAAAAGTAACAATCCCATAAAAGCACCATAACGGCAATATATACCTTAAAAGAAGAAATGGTATTTCCCGACAGGTTTAACCGTTCAAGATTGACATTTGGATCCAAGCAACATCCTGTTAAAAGAAAAAAGTTAGCGTCGTGTTCATACATAATTTGGAGTGAACGTGTTGAAACCGACTCTTGGGTAGAATAGATATTGCCATAAATATTGACTGGTCTGCATGGAAAATCACTTTTTTATTAATGGTTGTGGGATTACAATAGATACAGTATGTATATATTACAATTATATTTACATTCACTGCATGAATGTTATTGATAAGTTGGAGCAATGCATGGCGTTTCTATATGTGATTGTGTTTATCAAGCATATTCTTGAAATTTGTATGTTGCAGATTTTAGTATATTTTATATAACACATTCATTTTTAGAACTTTATTTTTAAAAGTAATTTTATTGTAAACACATAGGAGGCTAACAAGCACAGAGGAACTGGTAGGTCTTCTTTATGGAGACATCAGAGGTCTCGTCGTTTCTGGTTTCAGCAACCGCGAAAGAGATCAGACAGCAGAGCTGTGCCGATCTCTGTCTGGTTCACCTGCTGACACCCACTGTGCCGGTCCTGGGACTGCACAAGGGACAACGTAGCATGAGATAGCTGGTAGCGGCGAGGGAGGGCACACACTCCTCAGCTTCATACAAGTAATTCGGAGGCTCTACTGCCACCCAATTACTTGTATGTGAAAACCAAAATTCAGCTGCAAAAAAACACACCAAGATCACAGCTGCTGCAGCTGTAATATTGCTAGAGTTGGGTTAGAATTTGAGTATGCACTTTACATTTACACTGAACATTATGGGTAGTTCAAATGCCTATACGAATACTGAAAAAAATATCCAACCCATTCATCCTTTTATAAATTAGTCATATTTTTAGGTTTTGCTCTGATGTCAAAAACTGAAATCATCAGACTCAAATAACAGATGCTCAGGATGAGGTCTACCCAGGGGCGTAACTAGAAATCACAGGGTCCCATAGCAAATTTTGTATGGGGCCCTGTGATTTCTAGTTACACCCTTTGCAGAGCCCACCTGTGATCCCATACAGCCCACCTGAGAGTGACCCTGCACAGTCCACCATAGACTCTCTATGGTGGGCTCTGCAGGGTCTCAGGTGGGCTGGTCACACCCCTGCACACCTCTTATCTGTCAGCCCCGATCCGCTGTCAGCCTTCTCCACCGCTGGGCCTGGCCTCCTCCTTTGTCGCCGGTGGGCCCCCCCTACTCCACCATCGCTGGGTCTGGCCTCTTCCTCCACCTCTGCCGGGCCCCGGTCTCCTCCACCGCAGCACAGATCACTGACAAGTTGTCAGTGATCTGGACAGCGGTGTGTTCCTCCTCACAGCCGCCAGTGACAGCCAGCGATGCCATAGCGACCCAGGCAGCCCTCATGCCATTAGGGGGACCCCTTTGTTCCCCATTCCTGGCCAGACACCCCTGTGGCCCGGGCCCCACAGCGTCCACCTGGGTCGCTATGGCGATAGTTCCGCCACTGGGTCTACCATTATGCAATGCACTACTACAGTAACAATGAACAGATTTTACTTCCTGTCACCATCGGTGAGGAATATGCCTTTCCATGGAGGCCACAAGCAGAAATATATGAGAAAGTACAATGATGACATTTACCAGGGTGATTATATAGACTGCTAATAACATTTATTAATCCAGTGCCATACCAAATTACACTTCTGATAGAGGTAGGATTAAAAGAATTAGGTGATTATCACTAGAAAGGTGATTAAGATAACAGAGCACAGTCTAGCAGAGTTTTTATTTACATACCTATAGAATGAATTAAGTTCCCCGCCAGATTAAGCTCTTTTAAATTCTGTAGAGTTTCCAGCCCCTGAAAAATAACATCAGCTTTTATTCTGCTAATGAAATACTGGCATATAATATGAGGCAATGTGAGTAATCGTTTTATTATGAGCAGCCAGCAACGTGCATTCTAAAAGGGTCCATGACTGCACTGATGAATAAATGCATAGAGCTGATAGCTACTTCTATTATGCAACTCTCATAAAGAAGATACAATACACCATCATTATCACAATACACCATCATTATCGGCTGTCTTTTAATGCCATTACGGGAAATTATTTGGAAAACCAGGAAAACATGTCCTTTTGTCAGCTTTCTAGGCTAACACTGCTTAAGAAAATCATCATAAAATCATTTTTAAACATTACTTAAAGGGAAAATGTGCTTTGCCAATGCAGGACAAAGAAACAGGGTCACTTTAATGGTGGCCACACCAACATTACATACTATCCTTCCCTTTTGCTTTCCTGTCAATTCGGTCAGTCTTTGAAATTGCAAAAATGCCCAGCACTTCTGACTCCTCTCCCTCCTGCCTGAAAGCTTAGATTCTTGGTGACTGGCCTAGAAAAAAGTAATCCAAGATATGTCCCATCGCACTCCTGACTGAAAACAAACCCAAAGGTCTGGTGCCGTAGTGACTGCAGATGCCTCCCCCAGTAACATTAAATCGATAAATAGTCACTCGCACTCCAATTTCATACCAAGTCAATTCCTTCATTGACTATAGTAGTGTCCCAATCATAGCGACGTTTCGGAACCAAGTGGTTCCATCTTCAGGCAAACAAAAAGCCTAGAAAAAGTTCTTAACCTCTCTTAATATCTGGCAGCCAAACAGCAACAACAGTAGAGCAAAGGGAAAGTGAGCATGTGCAGCTGGTTGGACCAGCATTAAAATTAACCTGTTGCTTTCCCTGGATGAAGGAAACACAAACCTAGTATGGGCACTACAACAATTTTTCTTTACTATACTCCAAGCACTTGAGGCTAGAAAATCATAAAAGACTTTATGGCTCAAGCCCCGTTCAGAGGATAAAGAAATACCGGTGAAGCGCTGGACGACAATACTAGTAGCTAGGGATGCAACAAAAGAGACATTTTTAGTCCGAAACAGAAATTTCTAAATTTGTCTGACCGAAACCGAAAATTACTTTTTCCCCCCAACATTTTAAATGATTTTTAAAATTATTATTATTTTTTTTTTTTATTTACTGTTGGGGGCTTTGGGGACATATCAGGGGTCTAAACAGACCTCTGATTTTTCCCCTTTAAAACAGAAAAAAAGATTGGAGTACTACCTGGAGACTGTAAATATTTACTATCAAGGTCCTCAGAACATCATTAAATGAAGTATAAGAGAGCAACAAACATGTGAATGATCGTTCAATTAGATTTTATTGATCACAACAGTATAGACAAGTAGCCAACACGTTTTGGAGGCTTCACTAATTACCTTTTATGAGGACTAATCAGTGCTGCCAGATATAGTTGACGATTTCTTGCTACTGTTGTGATAAATAGTATCTAACTGGACCATCAATCACATATTTGGTGCTCTCTCTTTTTTCCTCTTTTTCTCTTACTGTTATTCAGAGACAGGGAATGCTTCATTAAAGTGACACTAAACTCAGAAGTAAAACTTTAAAAATGCATGCAAGTACCCTAACTAATAATAATACAGTACCTTATTTATGTATCACTTGTCTGTAGATCCTCAACTCATCTCCGAATTGGTGCTGACACTGTTCTTCCTTCTGGAGGGTGGCTACTTTTGTTCCCCATGGTCCCTGTGTGTGTTATAAAGTAGCCACCACTCCAGGGTCTCAATACAAAATTAGTAAACTAAATATGAGATAGTAGTCCATCACAGGAGCAAGCTTGGAGTGGTGACTACTTTACAACACACCCAGGGACCATGGGGAACACAAGTAGCCACCCTCCAGAAGGAAGGACAGTTTCAGCACCAATTCAGAGATGATTTGAGGATCTACAGCCAAGTGATACACAAATAAGTTACATTTCTGTTAATAGTTAATGCACTTAAATGCATTTTTAAGATTTACCTCCTGAGTTTAGTGTCAATTTATAGCTCAAGCAGGCAGTTTGCACCAACCTCCCTTATTTTTCAGTTTATGCAACATTTTTGCCTAGCAAAGACATAAAAACTATAGAAGAAATATTTTTTCTTGTGCAGTTCCTGCAAAGCTTAGTTTAAAGCAGCACCAAGTGCAACAGTTACCCCTTCAATAGTGCCAAAGGAAAATAAAGACTGTGCTACTGCTACACAGATGCAGCAGTAAACATAAACCAATACTGTAATGTGTGCCTTACTGTAATCCATGGTTGTTTCCCTTCTCTTTGCTGCTCTTCCTTTTAAATCCTCATGTCTTCTCATGCTGGGGGAGAACTTCCCTTTGCAGCTGAGTGCCTCTTCCTGTAGTGCTGGCTCAGGTTGTGAACCTACACACAGACACCATGTATCCATTTCAGAGACAAGGCAGTCTACTGCAAAACAGAAGTTCTGCCCGTCATGAGAAGAGATATGGATTTAAAAGGAAGAGCAGCAAAGAGAAGGGAAACAACCATGGATTACAGTAAGGCACACATTACAGTATTGGTTTATGCTAAAAAATCTGAGGGTTTAATGTCACTTTAAGAAACACATGTGAAAATTGTCCATTTTGTTTACTTACCTCTATGACTTCAATCTGATTATCATTCAGCCAAAGTACTTCTAACTGGGTCAGATTTTCCAAAGACTCAATGGACGTAATGCTATTACAATAAAGGAAGAGCCTTTTCAAATGAAGGCATGTTTCTAGGCATTCAATTTTCTGTAAGAAAAACAAAATAGATTCAATAAAATGTTACTTAAAATGAACCTGGCCTAAAATATTTCTAAGTTAACCACAGTGCTGACGTCTAGGTACCTGTGTTAGTTTTCAAATCAATTATTGTGTCTTTGTGATGCCCCTTGGATCCTGGCTGTATATTGTACAAGTCAAGACTATGTCCCAGCCCCTCATATTATGGGCATTCCCATATTTTCCTTCATATACGCATCTGTAATAAACTCTGCATTGTTTGAGATGATGATGTTGATCTATTTAAATAAGAACTATGAGGCGAGTGATTTCCGCTCATCCTCATAGTTAGAGCAGACCTGAGACAAAGAAGCTGTCACAGGTCGGCTCTATCGATCGGGAAGTGAGCTGAAACATGCACCGATACTGCTCACTTCCCGATCATCAGTCACCGCTCCCCTCAGGGATTCCCCCCTCCCTTCTCCGATCCTCCAGTGCCGAGTGGAAGAACGAACAAGGGAGGGGCGAGTACAGCGGGCTCTAGATAGGCAGAGCCCGCTGTCACTCACGCAGCTGGGTGGATTTCGACAGTATTGTCGGGATCTGTCCCGCCTGCGGCGCTCTCAGTATATACTGAGCTTTGGGTCACAGGAGGAGGTTAGTATATGTCCTCCCGTGACCCTCAAGAACTATGGGAAAAACACTTACCCCATAGTTCTCTTTTAAGGAGTAGAGCCTGGTCACTTTAGAAAGAGAATTTTTTTTTTCCAAAGTGAAAATTGAATTAGCTTAGTTAATGTGGTGAAGCTGTGCCTAATTTAATCATCCAATCATGTGTGGGTAATTACCAGTCTTTTTAATTTTCCTTGCACGTGATTGGGCATTTGTTGCAAAGTGAATGCTCACATAGCTTTGTAAATTAAGTAAAGCTAAGTGCAAATGAAAAAGTGAACATTAATACTTAATTAGGGAAAAAATAATAATCTTAGGGAAAAAATAATAATCTGGGTGGATCTTCTATAATATTTCCTTTAAAACTAACCTACAGTAAATGTGTAATGAACTCTTTATTGTCTGAGATAAGCTGGCCATACACTTTACAACCATCGCACGACTTGAGTCGTGCGATGGTTGTAAAGTAATTAAAAGCTTGTACGATCTGCACATCTTGGACAGGCAGATTGTACTTGCGATCATCGAAAGCACGCCCCGCTGAGGGGCGGGCTTCCGATGACTCCAATGCCGCACGGGCAGTGTGCGCTTTCCCGCGATTATCGTACGATAATCGGCAGGTGTATGGGCACCTTTAGACAGATCAAGCAGTTCATAATATCAAGCTGGGACTTGTGCATAGCACACACAATATTCTAGGAAGTACAACCTTGGAGGTGAATGATCTTATTAATATGCACTAATGTTTGAAAAACATTGTTTCTATATATAGCGTGTAATAATAGCTATATGGGGCCGCTATATTTCTTTGTTACAATGTACTTAGTTACAATATACTGAAAGTCAATACAGTAAGGATCTTCCCCCTGCTATGTATTGAGTGATTAATTGGTTCCAACGTAGAGTGGAAAAGAGATGTCATACTGATCCCCTCCCAGCAATCTCTCTACCCATCACATGCAAACACTGCTCGACAAAGACAGCATATCATTTGGTTGAGGTGATCCTTGAAATTAATAAACCTACTTGGGGTCCTTTCTGATGGAATCCCTTATTACCATTACCTGTCTAGGCCTTCCTGTCCTAAACTCACCACCACCAGTAGATGGACTGCTGTCTCAGCTATTAGGAATAGCAGTCACATCTAGGGCTGTATGCACCGTATATATCAAATCTGTTCTTAGCGATTTGCCTGGACTTCAGTTTAAACAATCTTAAACAGTATCCCAAGAGCAGATAAAAGCCCTACTCTGAACCAGCTTTTAATGTGCCCCTGAAAGTGTTAAAAAAACATTTTGGCTGAAATACTCACCTAGGAGAACTATGAAGTGAGTGATTTTCACTCAACCTCCTATTTCGAGCCGACCTGTGACAATTAAACTGTCACTCACGGCTCCCTGCAGGGATTCCCAGCTCCGATCCTCCAGTGCTGACTGGCGGAACGGACGGGGGAGGGGGCGGGTACAGCTGGCTCTGCCTCTAGATAGGCAGAGCCAGCTGTCAATCACGCAGCTGGGTGGATCTCGACAGCATTGTCGGGATCCGTCCCGGCTGCAGCGGTCTCAGTATACCGCGAGCTGTAGCTCGCAATATACTGAGCTTAGGAGAACTATGGGGAAAAACACTTACCCCATAGTTCTCCTTTAATCCAGACCTGCCTCCCACAGTACTACAAAATGTTTTCAGTCTTTTGAGACTGAGAAGAGACTGTTAGTGAAGGGCCTCATGGCTCCATGCCCTAACCATTAAGTGTATTAATGCACAGAGTAACGCTAATGTCATCACGTCAGTGCAGCTCTCTGCATCATCCAGGACCGCCCACCACTGGGACAACATACTGCTGGCCTCAAAGGGAAATGTAGGAACACATAGCCCGGAGTTAGGACTTAAGCAACCAGCATCATATATTGTGTTACGTACAGAAGCATTGTGTCTAAGGGTATCAGGTATCTCAGATCTAGTGATCTGCTAATGTGCTGCCCTTTCATTATAAAGAAGAGATGTACCTGCATATATTCATTGATTTCTATACATTTTTAATAACCTCTGTTCTTCTTTCACTTACGGTTAACTGACACTCTATTATCCAAAGGTTCTGAAGCAGTGGACACGATTCTAGACCGGTGATGTTTTCTATATTTTGCCCATTTAATGTCAGGTTTGTAAGATTTGGAAAGTAAGAGAGTCCCACCATTTTCGGGTAACCAGAGAAGAACATTTCAAGTGTTTTAGTTGATGGTCCTTCTTGTGCAATCTTCTCATAGCTGACACCATTGCATGCACACTGTAAATGAAGATATGAGCCATGTTCATAACAGAACAATATGAATACATATATATAGCCAGTTGTGTTCTTTAATGCAGTCCAACCAGAAATCAGTAACATCACTTAAAGAGAACATGTCGGAAGTGGAATATACAAGTTGCCTCTGCTGACTTGTTTCTTTAGTTGCAGAATCTAGGACAGTCATTCTTTATCCTCTCATCCCCACATCTGATATGCACATGCTTGTTCCAAGTCAGTGACTTAACAAGTATAGAAACAAGGGCGAAAATGGCAGCCCTACAACATGCACCTTTAATAACAAGTGAGCTATTTCAGCTCCCATACTTTGGTGGCAAGCCATGCAGGGCAAAACAAAAGACTTGCTTTAATGTTCCCATCCCCTGAAGGACATACCTACCTTCACTCCCATGCCACTACGTTTAGCTGCCATAACACTTCTATGCAGGAGGAGCATGTGACTCACTCACATTCCTGTCTTATGACATGGGTAATACATGGTAATTGGCCCAGTGTTGTCACATGGAGGTAGAGAGACAGTCCTCAGTGCTGCGTGTCAGCTCCAACTAGGGGGAGAATACACAGGCTGCCCAGCCTCACTGCTGGTGGCTCAATGGAGTAGAAAAAGAAAAGTAAGTATATTCTGCTGGGGTAGTATTAAAGTGAACCTGTGACTAAATCCGCATGGACAAAGCAACAGATTAATTAAAATAAAATCTTGTACACATCCATATAGGAAATGAGGAACAATAATCTTAAACATTTTTAATTACTTTATAAGTTAAAGTAGTTTTAAACTCCCATACTTTTTTTCAATAATGAATCCAGATCAAACAAATATACAATGCCCAGCAACACATTGCTTTACATTTTTGCCCAAACACTTACAATCATCATGTTTCTGAACAGCTGGTCCAAAGTCTCTTAGCTCAGCTTCCCTGAACTTCCTTTCCAATACAAGATCACAAAGGACAGCGCAGATTTCAACAACTGTCCATCTACTAGCTTGGAGAAGGAAGGAGAGGGGACCAGCGGGGAGGGAAGCACGTTGATTTTCTGTGTGTGTGTGTTTGTGGAGACACACACAGCTTACTAGCACACACAAAGGTGACTGCACAGCACTCTGCTTGAGAAAGGAGTCACTCTAAAACAGGAAGTCAGGTCCAGTGCTCAGGGGACTAGCTGATTCTGCAGGAGACTAAAACATTTAAACATCCGGGAGCCGATTTAATTGTAAGTGATTCTGAATTTTATGAGCATTTGAAGTAGCTCAATATCTTTTTGACATTAATATAATTTTACACTCCAATTGAACCCTGGCATAAAACTGCATGGTCATATGTCCTAGTCACATGTGCCAGAAATCCAGGAAATAAAAGGAAAGCTAATAGTCTGCCCTTACTAAACAGGGCCAGTGTCAGAAGACTGGGGAAGAAAAGAAAAGAGAAATAAAGTATGCAAAGGATACAAAGCCGGCAAGATATGCGTTTGTATATTGTCATTACTACACATATCTAAAAGGTGTGTTTGTTGTTATTATAAAGATATGGGTAAAGGTCTGCTTTAAGCCCACCTTAGTACTTCTTCCATCTATCCACCAATCAGTTTGGAAGAGTCGTTGTAAAGCAGATTACAGGTAATTACACTTACTAAATAATTATTCTGAATTCTTTAATAGCTTTTGAAGGAACACACAGGCAAATTAAAGTGTACTTTTATATATCACCTTGGAGTTCTTCAATCGATCTTATGAATGTTCAGTGACAGACGAAGACTACACAATTTCTCCTCCCTCTTCCAGCTTGGTAGAAGTTGTAAAATCCTGTCTTTACGAAGAGAATGTAAAAATAAAAAGAAGATTCTTACCAGTTCTTTAAATATTTCTTCTGAATTCTGGTTGTCAACAGAGTCCATTTTCATAGTATCAGCATCTGTCATAGTGAGTGGGCGTTCCTGTATAAAAAGGTGAACAGAAAATATACATCAGGACTTCTTATAATATCTGATTGCCCGAGAAGCTGGCTCCGTGTTGTCTAACCTGCTTGATTGAGCTTGGCCGGGAAACTGACTGCCCAGTCAGTTAGCATGGAGCCGGCTTCCCGGCCAATCAGGAAGCCAGGCAGCAAGTAATGACCCACATCCCAGCTTTCTGATTGGCCAGAAAGCGGGCTCAATACTGATTGGCTGGAAAGCCGGTTTCCCATCCAATCAGCATCGAGCTGGCTGTTTGGCCGGCTTCCCGGGCCAATCAGCATTGGGCCGGCTTCCCAGCCAATCAGGAAGCCGGGAAAATGAAGGCATGTTTCTAGGCATTCAATTTTCTGTAAGAAAAACAAAATAGATTCAATAAAATGTTACTTAAAATGAACCTGGCCTAAAATATTTCTAAGTTAACCACAGTGCTGACGTCTAGGTACCTGTGTTAGTTTTCAAATCAATTATTGTGTCTTTGTGATGCCCCTTGGATCCTGGCTGTATATTGTACAAGTCAAGACTATGTCCCAGCCCCTCATATTATGGGCATTCCCATATTTTCCTTCATATACGCATCTGTAATAAACTCTGCATTGTTTGAGATGATGATGTTGATCTATTTAAATAAGAACTATGAGGCGAGTGATTTCCGCTCATCCTCATAGTTAGAGCAGACCTGAGACAAAGAAGCTGTCACAGGTCGGCTCTATCGATCGGGAAGTGAGCTGAAACATGCACCGATACTGCTCACTTCCCGATCATCAGTCACCGCTCCCCTCAGGGATTCCCCCCTCCCTTCTCCGATCCTCCAGTGCCGAGTGGAAGAACGAACAAGGGAGGGGCGAGTACAGCGGGCTCTAGATAGGCAGAGCCCGCTGTCACTCACGCAGCTGGGTGGATTTCGACAGTATTGTCGGGATCTGTCCCGCCTGCGGCGCTCTCAGTATATACTGAGCTTTGGGTCACAGGAGGAGGTTAGTATATGTCCTCCCGTGACCCTCAAGAACTATGGGAAAAACACTTACCCCATAGTTCTCTTTTAAGGAGTAGAGCCTGGTCACTTTAGAAAGAGAATTTTTTTTTTCCAAAGTGAAAATTGAATTAGCTTAGTTAATGTGGTGAAGCTGTGCCTAATTTAATCATCCAATCATGTGTGGGTAATTACCAGTCTTTTTAATTTTCCTTGCACGTGATTGGGCATTTGTTGCAAAGTGAATGCTCACATAGCTTTGTAAATTAAGTAAAGCTAAGTGCAAATGAAAAAGTGAACATTAATACTTAATTAGGGAAAAAATAATAATCTTAGGGAAAAAATAATAATCTGGGTGGATCTTCTATAATATTTCCTTTAAAACTAACCTACAGTAAATGTGTAATGAACTCTTTATTGTCTGAGATAAGCTGGCCATACACTTTACAACCATCGCACGACTTGAGTCGTGCGATGGTTGTAAAGTAATTAAAAGCTTGTACGATCTGCACATCTTGGACAGGCAGATTGTACTTGCGATCATCGAAAGCACGCCCCGCTGAGGGGCGGGCTTCCGATGACTCCAATGCCGCACGGGCAGTGTGCGCTTTCCCGCGATTATCGTACGATAATCGGCAGGTGTATGGGCACCTTTAGACAGATCAAGCAGTTCATAATATCAAGCTGGGACTTGTGCATAGCACACACAATATTCTAGGAAGTACAACCTTGGAGGTGAATGATCTTATTAATATGCACTAATGTTTGAAAAACATTGTTTCTATATATAGCGTGTAATAATAGCTATATGGGGCCGCTATATTTCTTTGTTACAATGTACTTAGTTACAATATACTGAAAGTCAATACAGTAAGGATCTTCCCCCTGCTATGTATTGAGTGATTAATTGGTTCCAACGTAGAGTGGAAAAGAGATGTCATACTGATCCCCTCCCAGCAATCTCTCTACCCATCACATGCAAACACTGCTCGACAAAGACAGCATATCATTTGGTTGAGGTGATCCTTGAAATTAATAAACCTACTTGGGGTCCTTTCTGATGGAATCCCTTATTACCATTACCTGTCTAGGCCTTCCTGTCCTAAACTCACCACCACCAGTAGATGGACTGCTGTCTCAGCTATTAGGAATAGCAGTCACATCTAGGGCTGTATGCACCGTATATATCAAATCTGTTCTTAGCGATTTGCCTGGACTTCAGTTTAAACAATCTTAAACAGTATCCCAAGAGCAGATAAAAGCCCTACTCTGAACCAGCTTTTAATGTGCCCCTGAAAGTGTTAAAAAAACATTTTGGCTGAAATACTCACCTAGGAGAACTATGAAGTGAGTGATTTTCACTCAACCTCCTATTTCGAGCCGACCTGTGACAATTAAACTGTCACTCACGGCTCCCTGCAGGGATTCCCAGCTCCGATCCTCCAGTGCTGACTGGCGGAACGGACGGGGGAGGGGGCGGGTACAGCTGGCTCTGCCTCTAGATAGGCAGAGCCAGCTGTCAATCACGCAGCTGGGTGGATCTCGACAGCATTGTCGGGATCCGTCCCGGCTGCAGCGGTCTCAGTATACCGCGAGCTGTAGCTCGCAATATACTGAGCTTAGGAGAACTATGGGGAAAAACACTTACCCCATAGTTCTCCTTTAATCCAGACCTGCCTCCCACAGTACTACAAAATGTTTTCAGTCTTTTGAGACTGAGAAGAGACTGTTAGTGAAGGGCCTCATGGCTCCATGCCCTAACCATTAAGTGTATTAATGCACAGAGTAACGCTAATGTCATCACGTCAGTGCAGCTCTCTGCATCATCCAGGACCGCCCACCACTGGGACAACATACTGCTGGCCTCAAAGGGAAATGTAGGAACACATAGCCCGGAGTTAGGACTTAAGCAACCAGCATCATATATTGTGTTACGTACAGAAGCATTGTGTCTAAGGGTATCAGGTATCTCAGATCTAGTGATCTGCTAATGTGCTGCCCTTTCATTATAAAGAAGAGATGTACCTGCATATATTCATTGATTTCTATACATTTTTAATAACCTCTGTTCTTCTTTCACTTACGGTTAACTGACACTCTATTATCCAAAGGTTCTGAAGCAGTGGACACGATTCTAGACCGGTGATGTTTTCTATATTTTGCCCATTTAATGTCAGGTTTGTAAGATTTGGAAAGTAAGAGAGTCCCACCATTTTCGGGTAACCAGAGAAGAACATTTCAAGTGTTTTAGTTGATGGTCCTTCTTGTGCAATCTTCTCATAGCTGACACCATTGCATGCACACTGTAAATGAAGATATGAGCCATGTTCATAACAGAACAATATGAATACATATATATAGCCAGTTGTGTTCTTTAATGCAGTCCAACCAGAAATCAGTAACATCACTTAAAGAGAACATGTCGGAAGTGGAATATACAAGTTGCCTCTGCTGACTTGTTTCTTTAGTTGCAGAATCTAGGACAGTCATTCTTTATCCTCTCATCCCCACATCTGATATGCACATGCTTGTTCCAAGTCAGTGACTTAACAAGTATAGAAACAAGGGCGAAAATGGCAGCCCTACAACATGCACCTTTAATAACAAGTGAGCTATTTCAGCTCCCATACTTTGGTGGCAAGCCATGCAGGGCAAAACAAAAGACTTGCTTTAATGTTCCCATCCCCTGAAGGACATACCTACCTTCACTCCCATGCCACTACGTTTAGCTGCCATAACACTTCTATGCAGGAGGAGCATGTGACTCACTCACATTCCTGTCTTATGACATGGGTAATACATGGTAATTGGCCCAGTGTTGTCACATGGAGGTAGAGAGACAGTCCTCAGTGCTGCGTGTCAGCTCCAACTAGGGGGAGAATACACAGGCTGCCCAGCCTCACTGCTGGTGGCTCAATGGAGTAGAAAAAGAAAAGTAAGTATATTCTGCTGGGGTAGTATTAAAGTGAACCTGTGACTAAATCCGCATGGACAAAGCAACAGATTAATTAAAATAAAATCTTGTACACATCCATATAGGAAATGAGGAACAATAATCTTAAACATTTTTAATTACTTTATAAGTTAAAGTAGTTTTAAACTCCCATACTTTTTTTCAATAATGAATCCAGATCAAACAAATATACAATGCCCAGCAACACATTGCTTTACATTTTTGCCCAAACACTTACAATCATCATGTTTCTGAACAGCTGGTCCAAAGTCTCTTAGCTCAGCTTCCCTGAACTTCCTTTCCAATACAAGATCACAAAGGACAGCGCAGATTTCAACAACTGTCCATCTACTAGCTTGGAGAAGGAAGGAGAGGGGACCAGCGGGGAGGGAAGCACGTTGATTTTCTGTGTGTGTGTGTTTGTGGAGACACACACAGCTTACTAGCACACACAAAGGTGACTGCACAGCACTCTGCTTGAGAAAGGAGTCACTCTAAAACAGGAAGTCAGGTCCAGTGCTCAGGGGACTAGCTGATTCTGCAGGAGACTAAAACATTTAAACATCCGGGAGCCGATTTAATTGTAAGTGATTCTGAATTTTATGAGCATTTGAAGTAGCTCAATATCTTTTTGACATTAATATAATTTTACACTCCAATTGAACCCTGGCATAAAACTGCATGGTCATATGTCCTAGTCACATGTGCCAGAAATCCAGGAAATAAAAGGAAAGCTAATAGTCTGCCCTTACTAAACAGGGCCAGTGTCAGAAGACTGGGGAAGAAAAGAAAAGAGAAATAAAGTATGCAAAGGATACAAAGCCGGCAAGATATGCGTTTGTATATTGTCATTACTACACATATCTAAAAGGTGTGTTTGTTGTTATTATAAAGATATGGGTAAAGGTCTGCTTTAAGCCCACCTTAGTACTTCTTCCATCTATCCACCAATCAGTTTGGAAGAGTCGTTGTAAAGCAGATTACAGGTAATTACACTTACTAAATAATTATTCTGAA